CTGCTTATGCTGTGGCCATTTTTGGAAAACACCTTGTGTTTATGCCTCGCAAACTCGAGTAAAGCCTGTGTTTTTTCATCACTCCACAGATGAATTAATTCACTAGTTTCTTCGTAAGTCCAAACGGTACCTAGGGCAGCCATTTTAGAATGTAAGTATTGATGACGGAATTCCGCGGGAAACGGTCAAGGTCGCTTATGACGCATGCGCAGTAAAACGTTCTTAGAACGGTTACCGTTTACATTACACATTTTTATCGAGTCCGTTCTCGGAACCGTTCCGAGACCACCTCCCCGAGGTGGGCCAGAATTGGAACCGTTCTGAGAACGCTCGACCGTTTACATTACACAAAATTTAACCGTGGAAAAGCCTACATGCTCCTTACAAATTAGGCCTACGTCTTCCGAGAACTGAACTATAGAACTGTATACTGTTCTATGCTATAACAACCTTCTGTGTGTACCTTTGTGCTTTCAGATAATGCAGACACGGGAAGTACGCACGTCGGGTGAAGAAATCACTGCACCTGGTTTTTTTTTTGCACCGAAATTTTATAACACTATTCTCTAAATATCTTCCAACAAACGGGTCGAGTAGAAAAATGTATTGATAAATAGTAAGGATTTTGTCATCAACGAAATCAAAACATTAAATATTTTCTTCAAAAGTACAAGTTACTCCCCTTGAATTGACAACTTTAATAGAAATGATGTCCAAATAAATTCAAAAACTCTTGAAAAAGTTATTTCCCTTGAAATTGAAAATTTTGAATAAAACACGTACGCCATTTTTATCTGTGTATAATAGAGACCGACAAAGGATTTTTGAACGAAACGAAATTGTAATGTAATCTTGCCCTTTTACTTTTATATTGGTGTCATTTTACAAGGTTACACGTATATTTTCATCTACCAATGGTCAATCATAATTTTGTTTTATCTATTAATGACACTAAAGGAAATCATCAGATAGATAGTTATTCGGACTAAACGCACGACGTCCACAGAGAACCTGTTTATGGCTGGATAACCGATACAAGCTTTACCTTGAACTTTAGGTCATGTCCTACATGCACTCTTAGCCTCATTGTTGTCAAAAGATTTCCATTCAATCGGTTGAAGATATAATTTAGTTTCTAGTCAGACTGTTTGTATCAGAAGACTAAGATGGCAGAGGAACAAAAAGTTGCACACAGTGGAAGAGTGATTGTAATTGCAATTGATGACAGCGAATTTTCAGAGTATGCATTTGATTGTGAGTATTTTTTTCTCGCAAATTCTGCAACGTCAACCTACAACAGTCAACAGTCGTATGAAATTGATACTCTAAGCTACGTGACCCATTCATATACAGTGGTGTAACCTATTTTCGTGGATATAAGGATTCAACACCGAATTTCGTCAAAGTTAAAAAAACGAAAAAAAATTTTTATGTCTTAGATGTTTCCTCAGATATTCTACAAAATAATAGAAATTGGTTTATTTCGATTTTCTTAATGAATCCTTCACTTTGACCCATATTTCATGAGCAACCAACTCGGGAACTGCAGCAGAATGCGTCACCTATTTTCGTGTACAATGTTTGATCTATAAATAAGTCTAGAAAAACACGTTGTATGGATACCGGGTGGTATAATTAACTTCTCTTAGTATTTATCTTTAATATCAATTCATTATAACCAGTGACAATTCCTTCAAAGAACCACGATTTAAAAAAAAAATAGTGACTGACAAAATATGATACGTAGCGTGATTTATTGCTAAAAATCACTGAAACAACATAGGAATATGGTCCACTTTGTGTTCCATATAAAATTTCTGCTGACACGGAATCCGCTAGTTGATCACGTGACTTCATTCGTTGGATTATATTCTAGCAGACGATACTTGGAATTCCGATTACCGCTCGGGATTATAATGAAATTCGGCCGATAAAAAATGGTGACGTTTGGTAATAAGTGAAATCCGCCATTTTGTATTTGTCAAAGTATACATTAATACATTTTACCTTGCTTGAAACTACTGGATTCATTCTACTAGCTGACATTGTACAGAAAACCCATTTTTATTAAAATAAACTAACGCGGAGGTCGCGCAAGGTCGCTCACGTAAATTATTAATCATTTCCGAAAATCCACAAATAATAGGTTTCCACGAAATAAGGTTACTTGACTGTATAAGTATGTTTGAAGAGTAGACAGAAATAGATATGCATAGAGATTCTCATCATTTCAGCCTCTGCCTTGTCTTTTGGTTTGACAGTGCCTTATGATACTACATAGTTACATGACTACACACTACGAAGTTAAGTTGGCATAATTAAACAGATCTACCTCTATAGAATGCACCAAACATTTAGATTCTCAAATTTGGCTTATTGTACTAGTATGTATTCATTAGTGGATTTACCTTAGTAGTTTCCTAACTAGACAACAGAATCTCTGCAAAATCTGATAAATCATAAAACTTGTTTTGTTTTACAAGATAATAAAAGGATTCTACACGGTAGTAACAAAAATGAATATATTGTCAAGTTGACCAAGGCGATAAAAAATATTTTTTGCGTTTTTCTCGAAAATTAATTTCGTTATATTGTTATAGGAGGTTTCAAGCGGTCACCCACGATATTAGACTATTGTCACATTGGCAAATTGTAAATTGAAAGCATTTCCCTGGTATTAAATTGAAGAAGGGATTGTTATGATTTAATTCTGAAGACTCAATTGACAGCTGAAAGTAAATCCAGATAATTTCCTATTTGTTTATTGTAAAACCCAGTATTATCAACAATATCAAGCTGTGTTGAAACAATGTATCTTGTTTATTTTTTTGCAATAAAAATGTTATGTTGAAAGTCAAATACTATTTTTCATATAAACCTTTCAAAGGAAGTATTTTTTGACTTTATGGTAAAGAATAGGATTGTTGTTTTAAGGTAAATGTTAAGTATTTTTTAAAAAATTGTTTTTTCCTCAATTGCCGCTACTTTAACTTTGATGTGGTTACTTTGTTTAAGTCATGAATATATATATACAGACAAATAAGGAAATATATTGTTTTACATACAGATTATGTAAGATTTAGTAATAAAGCCATATGAGCCTGAGATTGTACAGGTATTACAAATAAAGATGAGTTACATTAAAGGTTTTAAAAGGATATATTCCTCTAAGTATTTCCATCAGCAGAGATTGCAATAAGCAACACTCTTCAAAACTCTGAAGCAATGTCTGGTGTCTTGAGAAATGCATGCAGTCCTGAAAATGGTTAAAATAAAAATGTAAAGAACCTTGAAGTCAAATTCCAGCTATAGTTTTGTTGAATTTCAATTGGAATAGAACTGAATGAATCTCATTTTTGTTCAATTAGCTTGTAAAGAGAGTTCTATTCATAGGGCAGATATCGAAAAAAAAAACCCAAAAAAAACAAGAGCTCAATTCAGAATATTTTTGATAAATATGATGGACAATTCTTCCCTTCTTCACAATGTCAAACTATTACAATCTTAAATTGAAGCTGCCTTTCTTGTATCACAGAAGTTTGTAAATTCAGTGATATGATTTGATTGTATGCTAGCAATAACAGCCAGTCAGAGGTAGAATGGCGATGATGGAGTCCAGGTAAAGGCCAAAGTTTGTAACAGTTGACATTGTGAAGATGCAGGTCTTGCAACTTGATGATCTTTCTATAACACCTAATGTAATTGGGATTGATGTTTTCAACACAGACTTCTGGAAGTGCACATTTAGTACATGTGAGCTTATTATAAAGAGGCATGACTTGGAATGTTAATGATTCTATAAGTAAGATTATTGTTGACATCAACTCTCTGTGTTACTATTACTTGTCTAAATAAGATTATTTATGAAGTTATGTCAAGGCACAGGTCTCAATGTCATAAACTGTTACAACTGTGGAATATTTTATGGATATTATTGTCAACTATAATCTTACTATGTCAAGGGTTTTTATGCTACTCAGACTTTTTATTGTGATATACTGACATAGTTATACTGAAAGGCTATAGTCCTCAATATATCATCTAGATATAACAAGTGTTTATGAGTCTGACAATATCTAGCCCTTGATACAGAAGGTACACTTGTCACTAATGACAAATAATCTTTTTGTTACTGTGTTATTTTGGTACCTAGTAACGTACCAAAACTGTAACAAATCTTGATAGTCAAAATGATCAGTAACGCAAAATTGGTTAAAATGGTAATAAATCTACCAAAAGGGTAACAAGACGTTTTGGATAGAACGGTAACATATCAAACTAACGGCCTCTTTCCTGTCGTAAGGTTGACGGTACTAAAATTAAAAGTCACAATATTGGCCAACAGTGAAATAATCCTCTTTATGCAGCTATATCTGATTTTTAAAACTTTTTCTTTATTTCTATCTCTTCATTACAGAGTAATTGAAGCTTGTGTGCAATAGAAACTTTCAATATATTTGCCTTCATGAATGAATTGCCTACCCAAGAAAAATTAGTGAATGGAGGATGGGTGTATCAAAGTACAGATATAGTCTGACTCGTGACCCGTGATGAATTGTGATATATACATATTATATTATTTTATATAACTAATTACAAATTTGTAAACTATTCCAAATTTGACATATAAAACCATAACTCTATTTCACTGTTGGAAAATAAAATTTACTTCCATCTTGATGAATCCATCATTGCCATTGGACTTATTTAATATCTACCTCATTGATATAGACAGCTTGTGGACTTTTAATCATTGTTTGGTTTTGTGATGCACAGTTTTCCCAAGCTAACTATTTTTAATGAAATTGAAAAGTAGTTGGTGTTATTACGGATTTTTCAGTCTATTTAGAAAATGTGCGGAGATCTGAAGATGTACTGATCATGGTTCACGTAGCAGAATTAACATCATTAGTACAAGCACGTAAGTATCAGCTATTTTCATTCCCAAAGATTTGGCATGGTGTGTTCTTAATGATCCTTTTTCTTACAGTTTTTATGGAGAATGTTAAACATGAGGCTGATAGGATTATTCTTGTTATGGTGCCTGAATATAGTTCTGTCATTGCATCTCGTAAGTAATAATAATTAATGCTGCATGGTTATGGTATGATGCTTTCCCTTATCATTCCTTTAGCCCATTTCTAAAATATCTTACAATGAGAATTTGAATGGTTAAAACGTTAGAAGTTTTTGTAAGAATTTTAGAGAATCACAATCCTGCATGTACTTTTTGCTTTTTAGTATTTGCTTTGCAATGTTTTCAAACTTCCCTTTCTAGTCTTGTAATGAATTTTTAGTTATGCTAACATGCTTCTAGATTTTACTCAACTCTTATAATACTAACGGATTATTTACTTCACGCTGTTTTATCCTAGGGTAGTAGCTCTTGTTATAAAACTATATAGGTAAATAAGGATGTATAGTAAAACTAAACTAGTGTCCAAAAGAAACGATACCACCTGTTTGCAACGACATAAAAGAAAAACTAAACAATGCAGAAGTTTAGGCTTGGTGTTATGCTTTTGAGAAATCCTTTCACAACATCTGTACAAAAATTTCATTTCAATAAAATCTGTACAACCAATATGACAAGCCTTTAAAGATGGGTGGGGTCGAAAAAAGAACATTTCATTAGAGCACTGATCACAGAAACAACGGGAAATGTCACACCTCACGTCACAAAGTCAAGTCAGTAGCGGGTATGTCCACCGTGAGCATCAATGCATGCCAGAACACACCTACGGACTGATGCCGTCAAACGTCTGATGACGTTGGGAGTGATTCGTTGCCATTCCTCGAGGAGACATCGTTCCAAGTCCTGGACGTTGACTGGAGGCACACGGCGACGTCGGATTTGCCGATCGAGGTGGTCCCATAAGTGCTCGATGGGATTCATGTCCGGTGAACATGCCGACCATGGCAAAACCTGTAGGCCGTAGGATGTCATCAATATAACGCTGTGCATTCAGGTTTCCACCACATATGCCATCCCAAACCATTAACCCTCCACCTCCAAACGACCGGACCTGTTGGATACAGTTAAGCGCCAAACGTTCACCAAATCGTCGGTATACAAGCTGCACTCCATCGTTTTTGAAGATGAGGAATCTGCTCTCATCAGAGAACATAACACGTGCCCAGTTCCGCCGTTGCCAACGTCGAACTCGCCTGGTCCAGATCAGTCTGTGGTTCCGGTGCCGAGGCGTCAGGAGCGGTCCGCGGTAGGGATGACGTGGCTGGATACCATACTGCCGTAGTCTCCTGTAGACGGTCTGTCGACTGATCCTGTGTCCCAGTGCTGTAGCCGCCGTGGACGTCGCTGTTACGGTGCGGTTCCTCAGGTGTAATACCCGGATGTAACGATCTTCACGGGGCGTGGTTACTCGTGGTCTTCCACTCCTGAGCCTGTCTGACGTCTGATCTGTCTGACGTAACCGCTGCATCAACCTGGTGATAGTGATGCGTGCGCAATCCAACCTTCTGGCGACATCGACGTGTGTCGCTCCTTGTTGGACCATTCCAACGTCTCTCTCTCTCTCGATGGCTGTCAAACGTGGCATTTCTTGTGTTCTTTTTGTTGCTGTGATATCAACGTGTCTGATCAGCCGTTTTATACAGTTTTTATGCACGTGCAGAACATGCTAGAGAGGGAAATGTCACTTTCACGAAATTTACGTTTTTTCCCCGGAAGTGATGACGTGTTCCCGGTATTTTTATCGACTATGCTGTGTTTGGGATGTGCAATACGAATTGGCATGTTTTCATAACAATTCTAAAACATGACTTTATAAAATGACCTGACTGAGGATATAAGCAGAAAATGTGAAAACAGGTGCCACTATCAATCAAGCTGTGACCACATTTCATCAGTATTGATACATTATAAATAATAATTTTTGCTAAATGTTTGTTAGATATGTTTGATAATACAAGTCAATGCCTATTCTCAGTTTTCCCACATGTGCAAAATTGTGGTGAGGAAATCCTTTACAGATGGTAAAACATACCTCATTGAAAAAACATGAAACATTTAGATATCAGCATTGTTAAGTGTAAATTATTTTATCAATTTAGTTGCCAACATCTGGTTTATGCATGGATTCCTATCTTTCAATAAATTTAGTACTGAATACATATTCTATGGTATCAAAGTGTTGATCAAAATATATTTAAAGGGAAATTAATATTTAGGCACTAGCCGTTCATTTGAATTTATTTTTACCACATATATTTATACTTGACGTTGTGTATTGCTATATCTGTATAAGACTGATTATTCATTTTTGAAAGCATGCTTTCAGCATATCAGAGTAATATTGTATTTTTGTATCAATAATTTTTGAAAAAAAGAGAGATCAACAATGAAGTCATTGAAATTGGTATTATCACAATGCACAAACTCTGTTCTGTTTGCTCTACTACTCAAATCCTGCGTGCTTTATATTTTAGCATATTATGGCTAGGCTGATTGCTTAAAACTCAACTGATAAATAGGTTTTTTCTTGAAAATTTGATATGTTTATTTTTAGAGTGAACTTAAACCAGCTTTTCAGTGCATTTAAAAGATTTCTATACTAACAAGGTTCCTTCTGATTTTTATAATTTAAATACGCCTGATAAACATCATTTACCACAGGGAAACTTGGGTAATGATTACTGAAGAAATAACATTAAGATTTATTTGGTTTTAGCGTACCAGAGAGCTAGTCTACTAAGTAATTATTGATTTCTGACTAGTTGTCCTAATTATTGTGTAGCAAGAAGGTCATATATAGTTCACAGATAGACTTATAATATTTAGACTCTCAGCAATTTTTTTTTTTTCGGGTAAGATTGACAATGGCACATATCATGCTGTCAAAACTTGAAAATAAACAAATGATTTAAAAAGATGGACAGCAAGATTACTTCATGGCTTCAAAAATGAGAAAATGATGCAGTTCTAAATTTAAGAATTTAAACATTTTCATTTTTATTTTTATGAACCATGGCTTATTTAAAACACTAATTTCAATGAAACTTCATTCACAAAGCAAATAGTTTTAATGTTACCTCAATACCAGCGCCAAAAATCTTAATGCACCGCCAATGCCAGAGCCAAAAATTTCAATAAAACCTTAATAGCAGAGCCAAAATATTTCAATGAAACCTCAATACTATGGCCAAATATTTCAATGAAACCTCAATAACAGAGCCAAAATATTTCAATAAAACCTCAATACCAGAACAGAACATTTCAATGAAACTTGATCATGGTCTGTGAACTAATAAACCTGTTATTATATATATATGTAGTTATTTATAGTCTGATTACTAGCATCAACTATTCTAGTATATAATAGTTCTAATCTTTCTCCTTTACACCAGTTGTTACCCATGTCATATTCCTTTCTATTTATCTACATATTACATATATATCTACCAGCTCAACTCTACTTATTGCTAATTGTTTATCAAAAGCTTTTGATTGCTGGCTTGTAACAGTGAAATGTCACTTATGTTTACATTTGAAAAATGCTAAAAATGTGGAAATGTGACCTTTTAAATATACCCTTTGCTTACTGTAGAGATTATTCATTATGATATAACTTTGTTTTATTTGTATTTATTGACACAAAATGTTACTGAATGTATATATTGACATTACCAGTTGCCCACTTTATTCTGGTATTTTAGTACTATGAGATTCATTAAAAATCTCTTAATTATTTGACATAGATAATATATTTATGTCAAGGGCTAAACATTTTAATGATTGGTACTGATGGTAAATAAGTTTCTTGAGGTGCTGCCAATGGTTTTCCAATTTTCAGGAAAACCTCAGGAGCACTTTTTTGATGTTGACATCTTCTAACAGAATTACAAAAATATCAATGAATAAATGGGAATGAATTCCTGATGTTTTCTTGACTACATTTAGGATCTTAGAATTGTGTTAATGATTTATTATTTTAGCTGGTATATTGACTGATTGTATTATGATTTATTATTTTAGCTGGTATATTAACTGATTGTGTTTAGTAGTTTAGTTGGTATATTGACTGATTGTGTTTACTTTTTATTATTTTAGCTGGTATATTGACTGATTGTGTTATGATTTATTATTTTAGCTGGTATATTGACTGATTGTGTTACGATTTATTATTTTAGCTGGTATATTAACTGATTGTGTTTAGTAGTTTAGTTGGTATATTGACAGATTGTGTTTACTTTTTATTATTTTAGCTGGTATATTGACTGATTGTGTTATGATTTATTATTTTAGCTGGTATATTAACTGATTGTGTTTAATAGTTTAGTTGGTATATTGACTGATTGTGTTTACCTTTTATTATTTTAGCTGGTATATTGACTGATTGTGTTTACTTTTATTATTTTAGTTGGTATATTGACTGATTGTGTTTATGTTTATTATATTAATTGGTATATTGACTGATTGTGTTTATGTTTATTATTTTAGCTGGTATATTGACTTTAGCTGGTATATTGACTTTAGCTGGTATATTGACTGATTGTGTTAATGATTTATTATTTTAGCTGGTATATTGACTGATTGTGTAATGATTTATTATTTTAGCTGGTATATTGACTGATTGTGTTATGATTTATTATTTTAGCTGGTATATTGACTGATTGTGTTATGATTTATTATTGTAGCTGGTATATTGACTGATTATGTTATAATTTATTATTTTAGCTGGTATATTGACTGATTGTGTTATGATTTATTATTTTAGCTGGTATATTGACTGATTGTGTTAATGATTTATTATTTTAGCTGGTATATTGACTGATTGTGTTAATGATTTATTTTTTTAGCTGGTATATTGACTGATTGTGTAATGATTTATTATTTTAGCTGGTATATTGACTGATTGTGTTATGATTTATTATTTTAGCTGGTATATTGACTGATTATGTTATGATTTATTATTGTAGCTGGTATATTGACTGATTGTGTTAATGATTTATTATTTTAGCTGGTATATTGACTGATTGTGTTATGATTTATTATTGTAGCTGGTATATTGACTGATTATCTTATAATTTATTATTTTAGCTGGTATATTGACTGATTGTGTTAATGATTTATTATTTTAGCTGGTATATTGACTGATTGTGTTATGATTTATTATTTTAGCTGGTATATTGACTGATTGTAAGATGATTTATTATTTAGCTGGTATATTGACTGATTATGTTATAATTTATTATTTTAGCTGGTATATTGACTGATCCTGTTGTTGTTAATGAATTAATGAAGGAAGAAGACCATAAGCTTAAAGAATTGATCAATAGATACAGTGAAAAAATGAAGAAGGTTCATGTAAGTACAAATATTTTGTTAGCAGGGCTTTTGGCATTAGCTAAAAACAAAAATTAGGTATGTAAAATTTAGAAGTAATTAAACAGTGTGATTAAAAAAATTTTAAACTTATATGCAGATTTGAATCTGTATACCCTTGCTAATTGGATAAGAGAGTCACTTTTCTTCTGTAAACAAATCTTCTCGTTTACGACAGATAAGAGATATTTTTATTTATCCAGATCAGATAAGAAAATCATCTGTGCAAATTACGCAAGATTGATTTTGTCATATTTGCATAAAACGCATTTGGATAAGCAAAATATTTTAACATGATTATAGTAATTTTAACATCATTAAGATGTATGTTGTCACTTGCCTAATTGGGATAGAGATTAGACAAGACACCACTTCACTGTGTGCATGGGAGCTGGCTGAGAGACATTTCTTAACCCTTTCAACCCTAGCAAGCCACATAATTTTGCAATATATAGCCAAGTAATTTAGAATATATATACCAAGTTATAATACTTGGAGTTCAGGGCATACAAGGTTTTATTTCATTTACACTCAGTGTTCAAAGGGTTAACATCATTTAAAATTCAAATGATTTGGAAATATCACAACTAAATGAAATAGTTGCCAAGAGGTTGGCTGAGGTTGCCAAAACTTTGATAGATTATTTTATTTTACTTCTATTTAGCTTGGTGGTAAAGTGAAACAAATGACAGGGAAAGTTGGTGAAGCTATTATTGAAGCAGCTGATGAAGAGAACGCCACAATGATTGTAGTTGGTAGTCGTGGTATGGGTAAAATACGTCGTACATTGATTGGTAGTGTCAGTGATTATGTTATCCATCATTCCCATGTACCAGTATTAGTTTGTCGTCATAAAGATCACCATAAAGACCATGGTCATCATCATTAATCAATTTATTATCTTATGAGATTGGTTTTGACAACAAGGTCATTGATTGATTTTCAAATTCAAATACATTAAAAATTTATACTATCTGTAATAGTAAAGTTTTTATGCTCATCTTGTTTAAAAAAAAAAAACAAGCCAGGCAATGAATTTTTAAATATTGAAAATTTCCTTTATGTTAATTAGTCTGCCATTTTTTTATACCTGCTATTTTATAAAAACAAATGTTTGTATTCCAAAATTAATTCATTGAGATCTGTAAAACGCTTTATATGATTTTTTTACAAACGTTCATTAATGGAATTCAATTTTACAAACATAATTGAATATCTACATATCTTTCTATTTTGGGACCAAGTTGTGGATTTTGATACAAGGGAAGCAACTCTGAAATTTATAATCCAACATGGTCCTGTAGTTGCAATGATATTAAAAATGATCTTGTTGCCAAAATATATGAGACCTTCTCAAAATATACAACCAAAAACTTTGAGATTTACCACTTACAATGAAATGAGATTGTCAATGTTCTTTTTAGAAATTACATAGATCTCAGGCAGAAAGCCTGAACAGTCAAGTTTCAGGAAACTTTGATTTTGAATAACGTTATGAATAAATGAAATTTTGTAGTTTATATGATGAATCTTGTAGCTATTTTTATATAATCCCATATAGAAAACTGTTTTTGTAAACCTTTTCCTTTCAATATAACCTGAGCCTTGATTTAGTATTAAATTCAGATTTTGCTTATAGTTTAAATGAGTAATTGTCATTGGGTAAATGTTTGGTTGTTGAACTATCTGCTTTTTGACAGAAATTTATTTTGAAGGTATGTCCATATATTCAGAATTTGTCACTAGAAATACTCAAAGGAGCAACTGGATATCTGTGGAACAACTAATCCATCCAAATTTCATACCCATTATATTTGGATTCCTTCACTGCTTTGGTATTTTGGCAAAGGTTGCATTATTTTAATAAGTGGTTTGATGTTAAAATTTCCTTTGTTACTTGGACTGTATTAAATACTTCATTTTGTTATTTTTTTCTCTAATGCTCAAATAGTTTAAGTTAGATTATTGAAATGTATTGTTGATTTAATGTGTAACTTTGGTAAAAGAAGCTTTGCTGTTTCAAATTGCTTTTTATAGAATCAAAACATAGGAATTGGTAAGGTCATTCTTTTGTAAGGCAATGATTATTTGTCATCAATGGAATGATTTCATAGTTGGAAAGATCCTATATTTTGATTAACTCAAAATACAGGGTTTGACATGGTCTTTTTTACCCAAAGACGCATCAGGACTGGAGTATGGTTTGAATAGGATGGAACCATCTAAAATTGAAAAGAGTGTAGAATTGGTCTATATAAACAAGAAATCCTCTATTAGAAACAATTATTTAAAAGTATGCTTGGAATCCGATTTTGAAAATGTGGAAAACCTTAGCTACGCCTATGTAGGCTATTTAAGAAATACATTACCAATTAATATGACTGAGTGCATGTAACAATTTGTCCCTGTCCCTAACTATCCATATCTACCAATATGTTATTTAGCTATACTTTATTTAGTGATTATCTATATGTTATAAAAATATTGTGTATTACCATTATACATAAATAAATATATTGTGTTTTTGCGTTCATTTTTCCTTCTCCCTTCAGTGTAGCATTATCATGCTCAAATGTCTTTTCTGCACCTTGACTCTGTTTTTAATATACGGAGATTAACTCATATTTTCAAGAATTAGTTCGAAAACCACAATGTTGAAAATGTGGAAATTATAGAGACCAGGGAGATTGTTTGGGAAAATTTGATAGCAATTGTTATATTGTTATGATGTAGTCCATGGTGTTTCGTCTTTCAATACAACAAAAATAACAATAATTCTGAAAGTTTGACCGAAAGAGAAGGAAAGAGACACCATTTGTAACTTTTTTATTTCTTTTTTTAGATTCATCAATTACTATCTCTGTAATAAAAAAAAAACAACTTATAATTAAAGGATATTTATTCAGTAATATATAAACAATAGTATAAATATATCTACAATGACAACCATCTAAATATATTTACATCTATATCTACAATAACGACAATCTACTTATATTTACATCTATATGTACAATGACAACCATCTGAATACATTTACATCTATATCTACTATGACAACCATGTAAATATATTTACATCTTTGTCTACAATGACGACAATCTAAATATATTTACATCTATATCTACAATGACGACAATCTACTTATATTTATATCTATATCTACAATGACGACAATCTAAATATATTTACATCTATATCTACTATGACAACCATGTAAATATATTTACATTTATATCTACAATGACAACCATGTATATATTTACATCTATATCTACAATGACAACCATCTAAATATATTTACATCTATATCAACAATGACGACAATCTAAATATATTTACATCTTTATCTACAATGACGACAATTTAAATATATTTATATCTATATCTACAATGACGACAATCTAAATATATTTACATCTATATCTACAATGACGACAATCTACTTATATTTATATCTATATCTACAATGACGACAATCTAAATATATTTATATCTATATCTACAATGACAACCATCTAAATTTATTTACATCTATATCTACTATGACAACCATGTAAATATATTTTCATCTATATCTACAATGACAACCATCTAAATATATTTACATCTATTATCTACTATGACAACCATGTAAATATATTTACATCTATATCTACAATGACGACCATCTAAATATATTTACATCTATATCTACTATGACGTCAATCTAAATATATTTACGTCTATATCTACAATGACGACTATCTAAATATATTTTCATCTATATCTACAATGACAACCATCTAAATATATTTACATCTATATCTACAATGACGACAATCTAAATATATTTAGAAATATTTAAAATCTGAAAGTTGCCAAAAATAGTATTCAATATAAGATTTTGTTTTTCGTCTTCTTAGCCAATACTTAAATTTTGTAGATGTAATATTAAATATTTTATAGTTACAAGTGAATAATGTTAGCGGATTGTATTTACTAATATTTTGTATAGAGTTCTATCGATAAAATATTGAATGAATAAATAAACAGCTTAGTTGACGCAAAAAGTATTTAAGTTTTTAAATCTTCAAAATGTAAAGTTACTTTATATAACAAATATCACAGCAGTAATCGTCAAAAAATAAATAAAATAAAAAAATGAAAAAAAGAAACAAAGTAAAATAAAACTAAATATAAAAAATGAAAAAAAAATAAACAAAAATAGAATGAAATAAACAAAAATGAATACAAAAATAAATAAAATGAGATAAATTAATAATAAAAAAATATATATTTTATTAAAACTCAATGACATAATATAAAAATCAGAAAGAAATTCCCTCTCACATGATTTCCGAAAAGATTCCATATATTGAGTCAAAAAAAGTTCCCCCTCCCATGATTCATACTTTATATAACAAATTTCACAACAGTAATCGTCAAAAAATATATCAAATAAAAAAAAAAAAAAAAAACCAAAGTAAAATAAAACTAAATATACAAAATGAAAAAAAAAATAGAAAAAAAAAAATAAACAAAAATAAAATGAAAAAAACAAAAAATTAAATAAAATAAGATAAATTACTAATAAAAAAAATATAAATTTTTATTAAAACTCAAATGACATAATATAAAAATCAGAATAAAAATCCCCCTCCCAAGATTCCCGAAAAGATTCCATATATTGAGTCGAAAAAAGTTCCCCCTCCCATGTTTCATTGTATTTAAAAAGATAGTCCGGAAAGAGCTCATTATCCCAGTTCTCTTTTCTGGCACAAGACCTCTCGACTCCTGAAACAGAGAAAGTTAATGATTTATTATTGGTGTTCAGACAAAAATATTATTTCTGACGAGTTTGACTATGCGGCTGAATTATATAACTTGAATTTGTTTTCAGTACTCTCGTCCTTGGTCCTTTAGTTAGGATCGAGAATTTTGACATTTAAGTCTTTAGTCAGCTTGATACACTTAAACCAACAACAAGATCCCTGTAGGCTACTCATATTCTCATAGAGTATCAGCCTTTTGTAGCTTCAAAACCAATTCCGCTTTTGAAAAGGTGAGGTGAAGTTGGTATTTGTTTTAAGAAATGGAAAAGCGTTTGTCAACTTACTTGAAGATCTAGTGGTAGATATATCAAGTAATGTATTGTTCCTTTTATCACCCCCTGAATTCCCTAAATCTTTAAATAGAAACAAAACATATTGCAAAATACAGGAGACATTGAAAATATCTTTTCTCATTATCCAGTCGATCCAGCTGACATTGCTTTGGAATTTTTTGTTTTTTAAAGTATACTACCTCTTTGAATAGACATGGAATTTAAAGTCTAAAACTTGGTCAACAAGTGTATACATTCATCAGTTGGACTTACCAAGTGCCATGACTAAAGACTAGAATCTTTGTAAGACGACATATCTATGATCAAAAAGTCATTAAAAGACGCTTTTAAGCAGGTTTCAAAATTCCTTAGTTTAATGAATTATTACCTAGTTTCATGGATATATTGTATTTAAGAGGGATTCTTTTGTATGGTTATAGCACCACGTAAGTCCACTGATGAACAACGACCCATTTTAACCAAGTTTAAAATTTTCAATTTTTGGGTCATCCTAAGAGGTCATACGAAACTACGTATGGTCCTTACATTATGTTATTTCCCTAACCTAACGCCGTAGTGTTATTTCCATGTAAGAACCATACCGGTACGTAGTTTTGTATGCCTAGGAGATAGTATACATTTAAATCATGATCTCTACGAATCAACATAAACCAAAATAGTATATAAAGCTCCAAATAAAAATTAGGATTTATATTACCCCTGTGTCAAAAAACTTCAAAAAATCAAACTAGATTTTAAAAAACCTATTAATACCTTCAGTGAAATTTAATTCCACATCCTCAGCCCAATTTTTAATGAATCTGAATTCAACTTCTCCTGTCCACATTTTTTCATGTAAAGGTAACCAATATAAAGAACAACAGTCATATACATTGGACTCTGGAATAAGTTAAATATAAAATGAGATTTTTAAGACTGTATGTTAGATGAAGGTCTAATTCTGACAGATGTAAACTAAAGAGGTTATGATCACAAAGACAGATAACGTTATAACGTCATAATAATAACATGACGCGAAAACCTTATCTCTAGGCTCTTTGTTGCCATGACGTCAAATCAGCTATGGGTAGTGAAATGCTCGCGTTTTCCCTCAAAATATAGCTTTCTGTTTAAATTTAAAGGAATTTTTTTTGTCCAACATGTACTCTAGGATACTGCACTCATATCATGAAAATTATATAAAAATATATCAGTAAATAACAGAGAAAATCCTGATTTTATGTTTTTGTAAAGTAGAATTTCACAATTTCTTCTAAAATTACGCATCAAAATATAGATTTGAAGAGCGTTTTTTGCTCATTAAGATATTTTGTGTTGAGAAGTATAGAAACACTAAAGAAATTACCTTTATTGGATACCACAGACACTTGTTTTGTACCAAGGTCAATCAAAGCTTTTTTGAATCTGAAAACAAAATATTGAAGTAAACTAGATTTAATCCGGTGTACGACTTTTAAAATTGTACCAGTGCCGGCCTATCTAAGAAACTTTGATACTCTGGTGTTGAGTTGGAAAGAAAGCGAGAAAGAATTCTAAGACACCAAATTAGGTTAGGCCTAAGCCTACATTCCTACAAACAAAATATTTTCAACTTAAAAATCTTATACGAAAATTGCGGTCAAACTAAAGAAAATCAATCAAAGATTACTTACAATACTGCCATTTCAATAATCTCAATGGATAAAACGGCAATGTAGAGTAGTCCGTGTAAAATTTCTAAGAAATTCGCAGAACAAATTTGAAAAGCGTCTTCTCGTTAGAAAATCAAACGCTCTGTGTCAAATTATGCATATTCCATTATGACGTCATAATCAATTTTCGTTTAAAATTAATAGTTTTTGATTGGTTTAATTAGATAAAAACAATAAAAAGATTATAATCAAACAATGAAAATAATTCTGAATTAATTTTGTGGATTTTTTTGTGTATTATAACCCGAATTTCAATGGACAATTTTAATTTTCTATCAAACTAGCCCGGGATATTTAAATTAAAAACAATACCTTCAATATTATGTCGACAAATATTTTGATTAAATCTTGACATTTAGGGCAAATACATGGCCCCAAACACTTACAAAGCAGTCATATGTTCTATCAGCATAATTTCCGTTGGATGACAAATAAGTTATGGCAAAATGTTTCAAATTTGAATTTTGGCAATTTCAGTTTATAAACAGCTATACTCCACCCCTCCCTATTATTTTATTTAGCTTGTCTACCTAACTAGACCGTCTTCATTAGCCCACAAGGTGCAGAAAAGTAGGACGTAAAACTCCATTCATTTCATTTCATTTACCTAACTAGACTACATAGGCTGACTGCCGACACCACTACCAAACTAAAATACCATAACTTTGCAAACTTTACATGTTGGAAGGGCCGGCTGAAAACCACTGAAAAGATAGACTTTATTGGCAGTGGTTCAACTAAATAGCGCTAGGATATCCTAGAATCAATGTTAGACGATAAGAACCTATAGGACATCCTAGCACTAAGATCGTTTCCAGAATACGTGACCACGACTTTTTTTTTAACAATGCCCTACTGCATTCTGAGACCCCAGCATAAGTTTTGAACAATTTTATATGTTTAGGTTAATAGTCAAAGTACTTCTATTAGACCTATCGACAAGCTTTCGACCATTAACCAAATTAAAAAACAGTTCACAAACAACTACTCTGGCAATAATATATGTCACATGAGCTCATATTAAATTAAAATTTAATAGCTCATGCAAGTATTTCAGAATAGAAATACAAGATTCATGTCCAGAGAGAGGGGATTTCATTAACGGAGGGGGCTTCCGAGAACCCGGCTCCCCTGTCTGCATTATAGGGCACTAGATATGTTGGAGGTCAGGAAAATTTATCTAATCTAGGAAGGCGGAGAACACGTCCAAAGCGATTTTGGAAGTGGAAGTATTTACACTCCCATGTAAGCAAAATAAATCAATTAAGCAACCATTAGTTATCATTATCTCCCTTGTATAAACATCACCTGGTTTCACATACAGGTAAGATTAAAAGAGTATTGTTTATTGGTTATTTACTAATCCTCAAAAGATTAATTCGATTGTTAATTTCATCAGTCTAAAGATATAAAATGGCCTATGCCTACGTAGGCTATTTAAGAAATACATTACCAATTAATATGACTGAATGCATTTAAAAATGTGTCCCTATCCCTAACTATCCATATCTACCAATATGTTATTTAGCTATACTTTATTTAGTGATTATCTATATGTTATAAAAATATTGTGTATTACCATTATACATAAATAAATATATTGTGTTTTTGCGTTCATTTTTCCTTCTCCCTTCAGTGTAGCATTATCATGCTCAAATGTCTTTTCTGCACCTTGATTCTGTTTTTAATATACGGATTAACTCATATTTTCAAGAGTTAGTTGAAAAACCCCAATGTCGAAAAAAATGTGAAAATTATAGAGACCAGGGAGATCGGTTGGGAAAATTTTTATAGCAATTGTTAAAGAGTCATCATGTGTTTTTTTGATAACTGGTTTACATGGTTTGTAAAAGTGTAAAGCCTCACAGATTACTATCTCTGTAATCAAAAATTGTAAAACAAACTTATAATTAAAGGATATTTATTCAGTAATATATAAACAATAGTATAAATATATCTACAATGACAACCATTTAAATATATTTACATCTAGATCTACAATGACAACCATTTAAATATATTTACATCTATATCTACAATGACAACTATCTAAATATATTTACATCTATATCTACAATGACGACAATTTAAATATATTTATATCTATATCTACAATGACAACCATTTAAATATATTTACATCTATATCTACAATGACAACCATTTAAATATATTTACATCTATATCTACAATAACGACAATCTACTTATATTTACATCTATATCTACAATGACGACAATCTAAATATATTTACATCTATATGTACAATGACAACCATCTGAATACATTTACATCTATATCTACTATGACAGCCATGTAAATATATTTACATCTATATCTACAATGACAACCACGTAAGTATATTTACATCTTTGTCTACAATGACGACAATCTAAATATATTTATATCTATATCTACAATGACAACTATCTAAATATATTTACATCTATATCTACAATGACAACCATCTAAATATATTTACAACTATATCTACAATGACAACTATCTAAATATATTTATATCTATATCTACAATGATGACAATCTAAATATATTTACATCTATATCTACAATGACGACAATCTAAATATATTTATATCTATATCTACAATGACGTCAATCTAAATATATTTATATCTATATCTACAATGACAACTATCTAAATATATTTATATCTATATCTACAATGACAACAATCTAAATATATTTATATCTATATCTACAATGACGACCATCTAAATATATTTACATCTATATCTACAATGACAACCATCTAAATATATTTACATCTATTATCTACTATGACAACTATCTAAATATATTTATATCTATATCTACAATGACAACTATCTAAATATATTTATATCTATATCTACAATGACAACTATCTAAATATATTTATATCTATATCTACAATGACAACTATCTAAATATATTTACATCTATATCTACAATGATAACTATCTAAATATATTTACATCTATATCTACAATGACAACCATCTAAATATATTGACATCTATTATCTACTATGACAACCATGTAAATATATTTACATCTATATCTACAATGACGACCATCTAAATATATTTACATCTATATCTACTATGACGTCAATCTAAATATATTTACGTCTATATCTACAATGACGACTATCTAAATATATTTTCATCTATATCTACAATGACAACCATCTAAATATATTTACATCTATATCTACAATGACGACAATCTAAATATATTTAGAAATATTTAAAATCTGAAAGTTGCCAAAAATAGTATTCAATATAAGATTTTGTTTTTCGTCTTCTTAGCCAATACTTAAATTTTGTAGATGTAATATTAAATATTTTATAGTTACAAGTGAATAATGTTAGCGGATTGTATTTACTAATATTTTGTATAGAGTTCTATCGATAAAATATTGAATGAATAAATAAACAGCTTAGTTGACGCAAAAAGTATTTAAGTTTTTAAATCTTCAAAATGTAAAGTTACTTTATATAACAAATATCACAGCAGTAATCGTCAAAAAATAAATAAAATAAAAAAATGAAAAAAAGAAACAAAGTAAAATAAAACTAAATATAAAAAATGAAAAAAAAATAAACAAAAATAGAATGAAATAAACAAAAATGAATACAAAAATAAATAAAATGAGATAAATTAATAATAAAAAAATATATATTTTATTAAAACTCAATGACATAATATAAAAATCAGAAAGAAATTCCCTCTCACATGATTCCGAAAAGATTCCATATATTGAGTCAAAAAAAGTTCTCCCTCCCATGATTCATACTTTATATAACAAATTTCACAACAGTAATCGTCAAAAAATATATCAAATAAAAAAAAATAAAAAAACCAAAGTAAAATAAAACTAAATATACAAAATGAAAAAAAAAATAGAAAAAAAAAAATAAACAAAAATAAAATGAAAAAAACAAAAAATTAAATAAAATAAGATAAATTACTAATAAAAAAAATATAAATTTTATTAAAACTCAAATGACATAATATAAAAATCAGAATAAAAATCCCCCTCCCAAGATTCCCGAAAAGATTCCATATATTCAGTCGAAAAAAGTTCCCCCTCCCATGTTTCATTGTATTTAAAAAGATAGTCCGGAAAGAGCTCATTATCCCAGTTCTCTTTTCTGGCACAAGACCTCTCGACTCCTGAAACAGAGAAAGTTAATGATTTATTATTGGTGTTCAGACAAAAATATTACTTCTGATGAGTTTGACTATGTGGCTGAATTATATAACTAGAATTTGTTTTCAGTACTCTCGTCCTTGGTCCTTTAGTTAGGATCGAGAATTTTGACAATTAAGTCTTTAGTCAACTTGATACACTTAAGCCAACAACAAGATCCCTGTAGGCTACTCATATTCTCAGAGAGTACCAGCCTTTTGCAGCTGCAAAATCAATTTCGCTTTTGAAAAGGTGAGGTGAAGTTGGTATTTGTTTTAAGAAATGGAAAAGCGTTTGTCAACTTACTTGAAGATCTAGTGGTAGATATATCAAGTAATGTATTGTTCCTTTTATCACCCCCTGAATTCCCTAAATCTTTAAATAGAAACAAAACATATTGCAAAATACAGGAGACATTGAAAATATCTTTTCTCATTATCCAGTCCATCCAGTTGACATTGCTTTGGACTGTTTTTTTTTTAAAAAGTATACTTCCGCTTTGAATAGACATGGAATTTAAAGTCTCAAACTTGGTCAACAAGTGTATACATTGATCAGATGGGCTTACCAGGCGAATTGAAATGAAATGAATGGAGTTTTTCGTAGACTTACGAAGTGCCATGACTAAAGACTAGAATCATTGTAAGACGACATATCTATGATCAAAAAGTCATTAAAAGACGCTTTTAAGCAGGTTTCAAAATTCCTTAGTTTAATGAATTATTACTTAGTTTCATGGATATATTGTGTTTAAGGAGGATTGTTTTGTATGGTTATAGCACCACGTAAGTCCACTGATGAACAAAGACCCATTTTAACCAAGTTTAAAATTTTCAATTTTTGGGTCATCCTAAGAGGTCATACGAAACTACATATGGTCCTTACATAATGTGATGTTATTTCCCTAACCTAACGCCGTAGTGTTATTTCCATGTAAGAACCATACGTAGTTTTGTATGCCTAGGAGATAGTATACATTTAAATCATGATCTCTACGAATCAACATAAACCAAAATAGTATATAAAGCTCCAAATAAAAATTAGGATTTATATTACCCCTGTGTCAAAAAACTTCAAAAATCAATCAAACTAGATTTTAAAAAACCTATTAATACCTTCAGTGAAATTTAATTCCACATCCTCAGCCCAATTTTTAATGAATCTGAATTCAACTTCTCCTGTCCACATTTTTTCATCTAAAGGTAACCAATATAAAGAACAACAGTCATATACATTGGACTCTGGAATAAGCAAAATATAAAATGAGATTCTTAAGACTGTATGTTAGATGAAGGTCTAATTCTGACAGATGTAAACTAAAGAGGTTATGATCACAAAGACAGATAACGTTATAACGTCATAATAATAACATGACGCGAAAACCTTATCTCTAGGCTCTTTGTTGCCATGACGTCAAATCAGCTATGGGTAGTGAAATGCTCGCGTTTTCCCTCAAAATATAGCTTTCTGTTTAAATTTAAAGGAATTTTTTTTGTCCAACATGTACTCTAGGATACTGCACTCATATCATGAAAATTATATAAAAATATATCAGTAAATAACAGAGAAAATCCTGATTTTATGTTTTTGTAAAGTAGAATTTCACAATTTCTTCTAAAATTACGCATCAAAATATAGATTTGAAGAGCGTTTTTTGCTCATTAAGATATTTTGTGTTGAGAAGTATAGAAACACTAAAGAAATTACCTTTATTGGATACCACAGACACTTGTTTTGTACCAAGGTCAATCAAAGCCTTTTTGAATCTTAAAAAAACAAATTGTTGAAGTAAAGTAAAATAAAGTAGACCGAATCCGGTGCACGATTTTTAAAATTGTACCAGTGCCGGCCTATCTAAGATACTTTGATACTCTGGAGTTGAGTTGGAAAGAAAGCGAGAAAGAATTCTAAGACCACCAAATTACGCTAGGCCTACAAACTAAATTATTTCAACTTGAAATATCTTATACGAAAATTGCGGTCAAACTAAAGAAAATCAATCAAAGATTACTTACAATACTGCCATTTCAACGGATAAAACGGCAATGTAGAGTGTTAAACTTCTAAGAAATTCGCAGAACTAATTTGATAAGCGTCTTCTCGTTAGAAAATCAAACGCTCTGTGACAAATTATGCATATTCTATTATGACGTCATAATCAATTTTCGTTTAAAATTAATAGTTTTTGATTGGTTTAATTAGAATAGAAACAATATAGATTATAATAAACGAATGGAAATAATTCTGAATTAATTTTGTGGATTTTTTTTGTGTATTATAACCGGAATTTCAGTGGAGAAATTTAATTTTCTATCAAACTAGCCCGGGATATTTAAATTAAAAAGAATCCCTTCAATATTATATCGGCAAATATTTTGATTAAATCTTGACATTTAGGGCAAATACATGGCCCCAAACACTTACAAAGCAGTCATATGTTCTATCAACATAATTTTTTGTCCGATGACAATTAAGTCGATTGAGGTCATTAGACTCTAATGATGAGAATATGGGATTGTTCAAGCAATGCTTAGATGTGAATAATCGTACCGTTGCTTAAGGAATATATACATATATTATGACTAGTGTTCAGATACTATTTGAAGCCAAGTCAATCGTGAATACATTTATAAAACAGGTTGGCTGCATTCTCTAGAGTACAATCTGATCAAATCGCTGCATTTACATACTTAGGTCATACAGCAAAGGTGGCTATTGATGTCAATGTATAAGACGAAGTTTGTAATTGATTGGCTGTGTTCATATGTTTAGCCTACTAACCTTTGCCATGTGGAATTTGTCACCTCACGTTTCACCTTCAGGGGTTATATAGGGAATATGCTGTATTTTTGTGTTTCTTTGTTTTAAGATAAACTTAACCTTTGACAAAGTGGGAACTCGAGCGCGAGCCAAATAAAATGTTCACCCTTGCTACCCATCATCCCTGTAGGGACCCAGTAATAAATTATCAAACATCATATTTAGTATTTATCATATCTTTATTATACGCGAATTCTGTACACTTCACTTCTTACCATTCGGCAACCTATAACTCTATTGACACGTACCTAAACAAAGGAATAAACATAAATAATCCTCGTAATGGTTCTTTTGAATTAAATATATATGATTTGCTTAAGAGAGTTTGGGCGGGGGCATCTAGTAAACCGAAACTCATGTACGCAATGTACGGGAAATGTCAATTTCATGAGAAATTTTCCCCATTACACACTGCATTTCTTGTTTTCTGCCTAATGTCTTTTTAAATACTTTAAGCTTTAAGCTTTATGCTTAGTATCAATTTAATCTACCCAAATGTTATATCAGAATAAAACCTGACGCTGACTTCGTCTACAATGCTGAAAAAACAACAACTTGAAACGCAGTTGATGACGCATCTTACCATAATCCACAGGAACTTCTCTGTAACCATCATCAGTGCAGGCTAATCCACTGTTGCAAGGACAACGTGAGTGGATGTTTGGATATTGTGGGTCAGTTAAAACACATGCTGGAAGAAAACATAAGATAACATCGTGAGAGCTGCAACATTTATTTAGAAAACTTTAAGAACAAATACAAAAACCACATCAACTTCATTCAATAATAAAGTACTATCTAAATTACAAAATAAAACAAATCAACCCGATCATAATTGCGAATGGCTATGGTTAAATCGTAGGAACCTTTCCGAGAAAGAAGAATATTTACTAGAGTGTTTGGTGAGTTAAAAAAAAGGATAAGTTGTGATATTATGAACAGCTAGAATTTTCGTGACAATATGAGTCGATATGTCATATATCTACAACTTACAGTCTTGACGGTTTCCATAAGGAATACAAAATGCTTGATCAGCTGCTCTTTTCTTTCGCCCTTTTAATTGTGGTTCTTTTTGACAGCAATGTTCTTTTCCACAATCTGCATCACTGAAGCATGGCTTTCGACATTTTCCTGTAAAAAATTTAAATGATAAAATGAAGGATATCACCTGCGTTAATTACGGCGTATATCCGTATGTAGTCATATTCCTGTTTGAACGACAATTTTTTTTCATCTCCGACTACATACCATTTCTTACTGTGTAACTGTGGGATGTTTACACACAGCATGTTGCAAAGATAAGTATTCTAAAATAGACCTAGAAAAAAATGTCTCGGAGCAATAGACGGTAAAATACCATATACACAGGCTGTTCGAGCAATATGATAATCTTCTCGACACAAAGTTACGTAAAAAGCTACAAAAGGATTTAAATTTTGTTATTTAAAATAATAGTAGTCATTTGGTATATAGAATCGCTATGAAAAAGAGCCATTATCGCTGTTCCGTGTTGCTTTGGCTACCTACCAACTATTCCTATTGGAACTTCATAGAAGTTTAATGACACACATTCCAGACCTGTTCTACATGGACATTTATAATAAGGATCATTAGATCCCTGTGTAGGATTTACCAAACAACCTGAAAAAGATACATGGGATTTAGAAATTGTGCTGTCTAAGATGAAAGGTGTATGAGTGAAGGTGCGAATAGAAAGAGAATGTGTAGGTTTATTCGTACCTATAGACAATAGACAAGTTCTCAGGGCAGGAGAGGACAAGAAAGCATTTTTAGTTACTCTCAATCGAGTCTTCTTTGAGAAAAAACTTATCGTAACTTATATGCTGTACTACCCAAAAATTTCTATTTCACGTGTGAACTCCTTTCAAAAATGATACTGTATATATGAAAATTCAAACATACAATAATTACATTTTCCTCAAAAGATGGATGGCAAGTGGATTCACTCACAGGATGCTACCACGAAATTAGATTACATAGGTATGAAAAGCTCTCCGTCATAATTGCCTTTAAAAAAAGGTTCCGAACTCGTCTCGAAGTGTAGACATAAAAATATGTTTTTTAATTTGTCTAACTTCAGTAGGGATGTAGGCTGAAATAGTTAATTCGTCTGAAGTTTCCAAGTTCTGTTTTAATGTTTCTGGATAGAATATTAATCAGATTGGCCTTTTCGATTCTTTGTTTAATCGGGTACTTACTTGAGCCTTCACCACCATAAGATTGACATGTACCAGGTAGAGATGTAGTAATTGATCCATAAACAGCAGCAGACCTCTTTCCTCTTGGAATATTCTTGGCCAAACAACACTTCTCATCTTTTGTTTGAGAACATCCATACTGATTAGCACATTCATAAAACATTCCAGCTACTGAACTGGAACCTAACATCTGAAAAAGATAGGTTTCTTGACAGTGGGGCTTGAATGTTTGTCTTTTATGAGTTGCCAATACATATCTCTTTTTTATGTCTTATTGTGTAATTTTTAAAAATATATAGATGAACATAAATATTTTTTATATGGTATACTGCTATTTTTTGTTCATGACATGCATTAAAGTTATATCTAAGATTGTTATGTTTGTATTTTACCATTGCTATAATTCCATTACTGTAACCACAGGCTAACAACAATCTATGACCCTGAGCAAATTCGTTGGCATATCGATTTTTATCCATATCCATTAATATTTAAAGGGATTGTAAAGAGATTTTCGGGGACACTGATAGCATCAATTTACACTATTCGAATTTCCCATCAGACGTCTGTGGTTCCTGCAATTCTACTAAAACTAAGTGTTTAATGATGTCACTAATCACGATCTCCTTATGTGATACATCATAATTTATGCTTAGTGACGTCATCAAACGCTTAGTTTAAGTAGAATTGCAAAAACCACAGACGTCTGACTGAAAATGGAATAGTGCAATCAGTGTCACCGATACACATACAAAATTGAGAAAAATCTCTTTACAATCCCTTTAAGTGAATTTGATTATAAGCTTCAAAACAGAACTGATAATCTTAGAATTACTTTGATTTATATAATAATTATAAATTATCCTCTGTTAAAACAAATTTTAAAGTGATAATGCGTGTTCATGTTTATTTTGTCATTCTAAGATTATCAGTACTGTTTGAAAGCTTTTAATATTTTTTTTTAGTAAAATTGGGCTAAATTTTATTACAAAAGAACTTGTTCAAACAATAATGTCGATGTAAAAATCTAGAAATCAATAACAGAAAATACTAAAAGGCAAATATTTGTAAAATTTTATTATTTCTATTTCACAAAACACCTATTAATTTTTCATATTTTGTATGATGTAGTCATATATCCCTTCTAGAATAATCAGGTAAACATTTTGTGATTAAAATATAAAATCAACAATTTTAGATTAAAAGTTTTTAAAATCTTACCAAAAGTAATATAATACAGTTTAACATTGCCATATTAGATGTTTATTCCTGTATTGCGTTGTAAAAAATGGTCGCAATATACTTGGTTTTATTTATTAATTGTTGTGATTAAAGGTAATGTCCTGTCAACTAAATAAGTATAAATCGCTATAAGAGGTCCAATATCGAATTTGGGAGTGACCATGATGTATTATTTCGCTGAACAACCCCTTAAATATCCTGTTCTATATGTGTCAAGTAGAGACGTTTAGACTGGGTTAAAGTGATAGATTTGACGTCATATCCGGTTGTCTTCTTTACTGTTCTAGGCCCTAATATGAAGAAAAAGTATTGTTTAAATCGCTAATGGTAAAAGAAGCAAATAATAATTTGACAATATTTGTATCTATAAAATTTGCTTTGATATTATTCAAAGATTGGATATTTTCTGTGTTATTGATCTTAAACGCATTGAACGTAAATTCAAACCACCCTTCGACACTACAAAACAATTCTATTGATTGAAAGGCAATATTGACGACTGTTATTGTTGAACTTGAATACTGTGACATTTTTTAAGAAAGTATAACCCTAGCATTGGATACAAGCATTGTTAGTGCATACAGACAGTCCTCAAAATACAATAAAACCCATTGCTTATTGTCACCAATCAACCTGGGCTGTCATAAAAATATGTCAGTGTATGTTTATTTCAGACTTCTTCGTCACATGTACTTTAAATGAGTTGAAAGAAAGTTTTCTAAGCTTGATGAGTATCGAAACAACAAGGAAATTGAGCTACAGCTAATTGACGTTCTATTTGCAGAGCTTGACTTGTTTTTTTAGTACGTATTCCCTCCGATGCCCGTGACCAAAACATCTGACTTTTATCGAAAGTCTATATCGAAAATATCAATCGGCTCAAATTATATTTGGGAACTAACGTCATGATATTAAAGATTTCACAATGAAAAGTGATATCAGCTGTCTAAAGGAGTAATTATGCCACGCCTTGCGCTTCCAACCATTAATGTTCAATATAATATACGTAGTTATTGTTACGTTATGTATTCATAATTTGAAATCTACTGTTGTTCAAGGAACAGCCAGTACAAGTTATACATTATACGGAATCTTCATCATCGCTCTCGCTTTCTGTCATCTGTTAAAGGTAATAGCTTCGTTCCATCAATCTGAAGCTAAGTAACTGAATATAGCGCTGTACTTGGTTAAACATAGGATCCAAATCAGATGGTACGAATCATGAATTCTTTAAATCACTTCTACACATTCCTAGGGTTGAAATGATTAATCTTATAAAATATAAGTATTTCTACTTATAATCTTATTCATTTTTTTTTTCAATTTTAATCTTTCTAGAACACAGGCCATAAAATTTGTAGATAGTAGAACGCGGACTGTACACTTTAGAACTTCACCTCTAGATCGTGTCAGCCGGGATATCTTTGTCAGAATATCTTTTCGTATCCTGAATACATGTATTACAGAAATTACATTAGATCACGTGACATTTTTTGCCTAATTATCATTATCGTCCGTGTTTCTAACGAAAAATAAACTACCCCAAGGAAAGATAACTCAACGTCTGGAAATTCTGAAAGTAAAATGAAGATTTTACTTTTTCTGCTCCCGGTTTGAGGAATGAAGCAGAACTTTGTCTAAATAGTGTCATTAACCTTCTTTGTTTTAGATTTACAATTTACCGACAATAATTCTGTTATTGTTATCACTACTTTTACTTTTTTTTTTATCTGCGCTGAATATAAACTTTAAAGTTAAATTTTTTGCTAATTGCTTTAATAGCTTATGTAGGGTCAATTATAGATTAAATTCTTGGAATACTGCTTCATGCCCATTAACAATAATTAAAATTGATCTTTTTAATGGACTTTAATTGTTTGAAGTCTGGATTTGATTTAGTATTCGATAAACCTTTTACGAATGCTTAGGTTGGGGTTGATCCTTTTTCACGCAGAATGAATGGCAGACTTTTTAGTTTCATATTTGGAAGTTTCATTATATTAGGTACATCTAAGCAATGTTTCGTTCCAGGCAAATATTTAATGGACATAACAACAAGCCAAAAACTAGACGAAGTTCCGTTCGCCTCGTTCAGTGCTGCTGGACCGTTAGATTGTTATAGCAAGTGTCGTTTGTATGTTTTGTGCCAGTCTCTGAATTTCAACGCGGCCTCTCATCAGTGTGAATTATTACCAGTATTTGATGGTAATTTTGTTTCAAATGTTAGTTACAGTTTCATTGATGTTCGTTTCTGGAATAGTAATTTTCTGAATAGTTGCTCTGAACATAACTGTCCAAACAATACTTACTGTCAAGAAGATGGTTCAAATTTTGTATGTAAACCATTTGGTTGTATTGGTGTTCCGGATGTCAGCAACGTCAATGCCGAGTCATTTAGACAAAATGTAATCTGGAATATTAATGACATAATATCTCGACCATGTAAAGCAGGTTATTATTCTTCACTATCGCCTTTCTGCAACAATACAGGCGGCTGGAGTCCATTCCTTTGTCTCTCAGATGAAAGCGAGGACGATGACTAGAATGAATAATCCCCCAATTTGTGTTAATTTGAATGATGTGGACAATCGGCAATCCTCAGCGGTTTCCGTAAATGTAACTGTTTAGACAATGAATAGTAGATTTCGTTGTGTCTTCTGAGTCAACATCCTTTACTTTTACGTTTTACTTTACTAACTTATGCATTTAATCCATATCTCACGAATTTTGTTTTTATTGGCCCTTGTTTACAGCCACTTGACTAAGAACTGATATTTGGTATTAGAACACATGACATGATTGTAACAATATTGGCAAAGTTCCGGTAAATAATGATTGCAATTCATTACCGACGACGGGACGGGCGTTTTTTTTCATGTTCGTCCCGATCTGCAACAGTCAAAGATATCGTTGCGGTGGCCATAGAACTTTTTAATGGAACTTTTAGCTCCGAAAAGATGTTACCTTGCTGTGGAAACCTGGTGATTCATAGTTTACTTTGGTGTTTGTTATCTATGTATAAATATGTAATGATATGTGTTTTAATTTATCTTCAGTGAGAAATCCAATAATATAAAGTGATGGAATAATATTACATTCATTTTTTTAGATTACTGAATTGGGGAATAAATATAATACTGTAGATAAAAAAATTGATAAGCATTTAGCTGAAAAAAGCTGTTGATCAAAACGCTGTCGGGACCTAAAGTTAGGGGCACACGGTGCAATTTTACCCGATCGCGGAGAAGTTTAAAGTCGCTCAAAGAATGCAAATCGCTCGATTATATTCGACGATGGATCTGTTCGCTGGCAAATTTTCGTGTCCGGTCGGTGCATTTTGTAGAGCGAGCGACCAATCGGACGTGATGTTGATGAAAATTGGAAAAATTCCACAGAGCGGTGTGCGCTCTCAAAATTCACCAGTGGTCTACATATCAATACATGGTCAACCAACTCTACAAATTCGGTGCTACTCATTCTAAAACATTGATCTTATTTTAGTTCCATGACTGAATAACGATATTCATCGAGTTGCCTCCGCAGAAAAGAGACAGGCCCGACTGCCCACACCCCCACTTTCAAATTGTTCTTTTTTTTTTTACATAGAGTGGCTCCGCTAGACAATTCTGTGGCCCTTGCTCGGCCCTCTCACCTGGCGTTTCTTAGAAACGCCACTGTTACCTATTCATCTACAATTTAGGATCACACATTGTCGATTCAGCAAGACGTATACAAAGCGTTTGAAATTAATTGTCGAAAACGCTGCCGTTCGTTGAATAATTTATGGTTCGTTGGTATAAGCCATAATAAGAGGAAAACGTGTGAAATAACTTGTAAAAAAATTTGATGTAGGTACGCACAATATACTCAAAACGTATTCTTGACCTATGAGTTACGTGCTCATTTACGATGTTTTTTCACTTTCAGTTACCGTATACAGGCATGGCCAATTGACATCTATTTTACCATCTCTCCTAAACGCTGTCTATAAGCCTTATACTTATAGCTGTAAGTCCTGTTAGTGTATATTCCACGTTTGCGGGACGTAAACTCACCAAAAAAACGTATACGAGAAACGCCAACGTATTCTTCACACGTCATCATTGTTTGACAGGAATATAAGGGGAACTGGCGTTATGAAGACGCCCTGATTTAGTCGAATTAAAACAAAATCGATAATTCACCGGTTGCCAGAGTTTTGATACGCTGACTTATCGTCGGCTAAATTGTGTGACTGGGCCACAAGTAAATAGTTTAATTTCAATGAGACGAAGATAAGAATAAAGAGATTAAACGCACCTACTTTGTTCAGATATATAATCGTTTCTGAGATCTAGTTCAAAGAGGTGTGGAATTTCAACTCAAGGAAAGGCCATGTTTCTTTTAGTATTGTTGGTGAGTTTTTAATTTGTCAAATATTTGACAAGTTTATTACTAGATACTCCTTCATTTCGTTCGCATGATCCTAGTTGGTTCAGTTAAGTGGTTAAATGATGACATGATCCCATGATGACAAACCAAACGAGCGATCACAAAAAACACCCCCATGTCAGTAACACCATGGCAGAATTGTAAAAGCATATGTCTTGGCCATGTAGAATCATGGGAAGATATATGTGATGAGCCTACTTTAACCCCGCGTAAGAAAAGGAAACATCACCTTATTACAAAAATATTGTTACCTTTCTCTAGAAAATCTTCAAATTATAATTTTAAAGGCACTGTCGGTTATTGGTGGTGAGGCAGCTACCATTTGTAAAACATCAAGCGAATGTGGGTATGACGAATGTTGTATGATGGTCATACCACTGAGGGGAAAAAGAGCTACAGATTATGGATATTGTACACCAAATGGCAGGGACAAACAAAGTAAGCCTCACCGAGGGTAGTTTTCACGGAAGATAACTCCTCGTCTGATGGAGAAACAGCCTTGTTACTCCCTGCTGAATATCAAAAGACAACAACGACATTATCAAATTGAATGGATATTATGATGAGTACTGCAGGAGGTGTCGCTAGTTTTGTTGCGGTAGAATAATTGGTTGATAGTTACTTCCTACCATTACCTTATTAATTTTGTCCGCTTATGGAGTTTCTCTAATAGATTGCGATAAGCTTTACAGGTTTTCTGAAAAGGATTACATTTAGATAGCCTATGCTTATCCTTGTGATTAATTTAAAATCATTGGGCTTTCAGAATGTTATATTAATAATGCCTTTAGCGCTAATGGTAGACATGCTAATAGTTGCCCATGTGGTAATGGGTACCAGTGTGTAAGTTCAGGGTACAGAGAGATACCACAAGGAGAAGTTGGTAAGATGCTTGAATATTCACTTCTGCATTTTGAAATAGTGGTGGAAGTGCCATTTTGAAACTAATCCAAATGTCAAGCCAAAATGTATCGTTACATATGCAGGAAGTATCACATTTTTATTCGATTACCATCTTAACTTCTAGGGCCCATATGGAAATAAGACCAGAATAATGCGTAGTTATTTGTTCAATATTGTTGATAAGGAATACATTTGTAATGAGTGGGGTAATACCATTGGGGTATTTTATATGATCTCTTCAGTCCCAAGGAACGAGTAAATAATCTCGGTGAGAATTTGGAGAGACCATAAACCAAAGTTATGTGTCCTTTGAACCACTTTTATACGCCCACATAGAATGTGGACGTATATTTCCGTCGCCCCGCCGTCGATCCGTCCGTCCAAATTTCTTGCAGGCACAATAGAGTCTATAATTATTAACCGATCTTAAAGGAATAGAACGTCTTAAAATACACTAACATGTAACAACCGGAGAAGTACACAAACAAAGTTAATTTTTATATTTTTGATCGAAAATTCGTCGCCATTTGCAAACAAAACCTTCTGCGCTTGTTCGTAGTCTCGAAATTCTTTTCCCAGACGCCAAGAAACCATTCACGAGAAAACATCGACCTCGTTTCAATTATAATTGGAAACTTGGAAACGATTCCTCGGTGGCCAGTTAAATTTATAGAAACTGTAAAAAATGGGTTTAGATATAGTTTCACGCCTAATTAGCGTAATTCTTCACGTAGAAAATAAAGTGGTCTATTCCTTTCAGCGTTTTATAATTAATTATTTGATTTTGTGGATTTACCGGATTATAGAGGGATTTTGATGTATACATCAGGTGCGTCCACTGATGGATATATACTGTTATTGGCCAAGTTTGAGCGAAATTGAAATTTTATGTTCATTCTAAGACGTTCTATTCCTTTAATGAAACTTGGTATGAATGTATATATTGATGAGATGATGTTATAATAATCGGATGAATGGTTATTGCCTTGTAGGCACGATAGAGTCTACAGTTTTTATCTGATCTTGATGAAACTTGGTATGCATGTATGTATTGATGAGATCTCAGTCATGTCCGATATTAGTAATAATCGGATGGTTTCAGACTTATTGCCCTTGACTTAGTAAAAACGCGTCAAATTTGCCTTGCAGGCACGATAGAGACTACAGTTTTTATCCGATCTTGATGAAACTTCGTATGCATGTATCTATTGATGAGATCTCAGTCAAGTTTGAAATTGGTAATAATCGAATTAATGGTTTCATAGATATTGCCGTTGTGTGTTTGAATTTGATTATTATGTGGTAATAGGTTTTGAATTGACTTATATGTTTATAAGATCATTTGAAAATTCATTATAGAGGCACTACAAACTTAATTATCGTTATCATTCCTAACAGATGGTAGTGGGCGTATGTTACCTTGCCTGGCAAACTATCTTTTCAATATGATGTGAAATCTTTTCCAGTGACATTCGACTTTGATTTTAGTTAATTGTTATGACAATGTATATATTCATAATTCTTTTATTCCCATTTTTATACGCCGTGTCCGTCCTTCCTTTCCTCTGTAATTGTTCGTAAACACTTTAGAAGGCACTATATTATTGACGAATTTTAGCCAAGGAAGAACCCTATTGAAAATCAGAAATATTGAAACTATATGAGTTAGCTTTTAAAAACTACAATGCACAATTCTTGACGGATTTTGAAGAAATGATGAACCATATTGAAAATCAAAGTAATTGAAAAAATGTTTTTGCGCTTTTTCTCGTAAACACTTAAAAAGGCACGATTCTTGTCGGATTTTGACAAAACGTAGTAATAACAATCAATATCATCCAAAAATTCGAAAGTGTCTGATTAAAGGATGAATATTTCATACTGGTGATTGTTACTGTACTGCAAATTATTCTTATTTAAAATCAAAGCTGCCAGGGGGTGTATATTACTTTGCCAGGCAAGCTATTTGTTAATGTACAGGCCAATGTACCGCAGTGCAACAGAAGGGAAAACGACAAGATCCAGTTAATAAAGGGTGTTCCAGTGGTAAAGACTGCGGAATGGATGAATGTTGTGTATCTAGGGTGCGACCACTTGGCAAGAGATTCTTTCTTGGCAGTACCAATTCTGGTGTCTGCACTAAACTCGGTACTAAAGGATCGGGTAAGCTTTCCAATTATTGAATTTCCTTGCTCACATAAATAGACATGTATTTTCACTTTCATCGGGCGTAGACTGGTAAAAACTTTGAAACGCTCGTTTCAAATGTGCACAACCATGAGGATGATATGTATTTCAAAATTTTCAGTATTGCAAAAAATTAGTTTATTTTGGGAACTTCTTGGCCTTCATAGACGGTTACGCCCCTGGCTTAACACAACTCTTGCTATGTAACCCTTTGCTTACAGGATGCCTTGTTAAAATGGAATCGAAAAGACCCCTGACTCAAGTTTTTCAATGCCCATGTTCCACTGGATATTTTTGTAAAAGCTCCCACCAATTTGATATTCCATTAGGAGAGATGGGTAAGATCTCGTACAATACGTTGAACATTTAAAATAATGTTACCTCTTAAAATGGAAATAAAAGTCTCACAGTCTCAATCTTGGTCAATAAGTCTATTCATCAGTGGGCACCATGACTGAAGAATAGGATCTCTAAATAAGACGATATATCCATTAAACTAAGCATGTTTCTAAATTATTTCGTTTAAAGAATTATTACTTTGTTTTATGGAATTTTGACACCCAGTAAGTGCACTAGTGAACGAAGACTCATTTTAACGTTTCTGTAAATTTCCCGAATCAAATTAACCTGTGGTTATGAAATATATACCGATATTGGTGATGCTAATATCATTGTGCAACACTTTCGTCTAAATTAAATATTTTTGGTCGGGTTGACTGATGCAATGATCACTCATGAAATCGAGTCTAAAGTCAGAAAGCTACCATGGTCTTTTAGCCTTGCCTCATATTCTGACGCTATGTTATGAAGGGGGTGTCACACAGGAATATTATTGATAATATGTTTCTATCATTATCTTTAAAATATATTTATAGGAGTCTGTACAGCCTAGATTTTTTAAATGGTGAAATATTAAACTAGTCAGCTTCATCTCAACTTATTTCATTAGGTTTCTCTATTAAATATCGATATATTACAACACGTTTGTATTACTTTCAACTGTACATTTGTATAATATTTCTACAGAGCACCGTGTTGACCTTGATGAATGGAATGTCTGCATTGTTGACACTTTAGAATGATCGTTAAAGTCGATCTTGTCTGGCAATTTTCGTTTTGGTGATGTCTTGGCATAGGTGCAGTGTCATCTATTCCAGATTTTACTAATGAAGCTACTCATCACGCCTGGATCTTGTGGACCTTGCAAGGGAATAAATAATTACCAAGTGTGGTAAAAATTGGTCGTAACACAGGAAAAGGTGTATAGGTATTTGAAAAAAATGTACATGTAAAATTAAAACTCAAAAGAGTAGGCCAACAATACTGTGTTGGTAAAAACGTGGCCTCTTGTGCATTTCACGGCGTTGCCTGCCATCATAGGTCCCATTTATATTTGCAGAATACACCAATTTTCGATTAGGCGTCTGTGGTTTCTGCTATTCTATTAAAACTAATTGTTAAATGATGTCACTTATACCACATAAGGCCTTTCACGAATAGTTTTAGAGGAATTGCAGGAAGCCACAATCGAGGATTGGAATGGTAAAAAAACTGTGTATCAGTGAACACTGATACCCATAAAAAGATTAAGATCAAATACAATAGAAACGAACGGTCAAACGGTAGTGAATTTCAAGACAGATTTTACATTTTCATAACACATATAATTTCACCTATTTCAACAAACCGATATGGGCAAATTTCAAGGGGCCATAACTTGAAAAACCAAATAATTAACATTATAAATCAATTCTAGAACACACAAAATTTCATCAAAATTGTAGTCAGCAACACATTTACATGTTCGCCAAAAATTTACTATATTTTCGAATAACATTGAGCACATAATTTATCAATAAAATGTTTCTGCATAAAGCTAATCAAGTTTCACCAAAATCGGATCAAACCGATAACAGGTTAGCACTTATTATACAAACTAATTTGACGCATGTTAAGCTATGTTAAAGGAAATAATGCAAACGCCATTCATCTAAAAATCGCGTAAAGGACATGGTTCGCCATACGGGGGTGTGGGGTTGAATTGGTCTTTAGAAGTAATTGAACAAACTTTATATTTATTTCAAACAGACAACACATGTAAGAAGAGTGTTATCTTCATAAGGAGGACATGGTAGTGATCCACATTGTGCTCTCACTGGATACATTAATTTACCATCATTATTAGTATTAGTTCCGTTGATCTGTGGGTTATCATCAAGACAAACATACTGAGACGCCCCAGCATGATTGTACCTCTCACTGACCAACTCTCCATGGTATGCTTTCTGCCATCCTTGATAACATTCTGTTCTAGCTGGTATCATTAATACTGTAGAAAACTGGTTTGTTCGACATACAGCACATGGTACTTTATAATTCAGTAGTGGCTTTGGAACCTCTTGATATTCTGAGCCATACATATATCCCAATTCGGACCATTAAAATGTTTATTTACATTCCATGTTGGATCTGGTGGTAGATAAACATATTCTGCTGCTCCTCCAGTATGTGAGTAAGATGATCCTCCAGTTATACCTAGATATAAACATATAGATAAACACGTTAAGTCTCATTACCTTATTACTGGATAATATTTCTAAAGAATTATGTCATTAATACGTTGGAACAGTTTCGAGGCAGTGTGTATCGGAATTCCTGAACTGGTGATACATTGCATTGATAAAACAAATTTGTATTTCAACCTATACGAATGACCACTTCTGCCCTAACAATCTGTAACTTCCTTAAATCAAATGCAAAAATGTTAAAGAAATTTCTCTATAAAAGTTATTAATGGTTATTAATCTTTGTAATATGAAGTATCAGGATGAAAATGAATTAATGAGATTTATCTTAATAGAAACTGTATTTTGAGTTACTTCCCTTTTCTTCCTAAATTTGATAAATGTAGTGCAATGGAAAACTTTCTCTAATTAATCAAAAGGGATTAAAGTGATATGTCGATAGAGTCTACACCTATATGATTAGATTTTGATAAAAATTTGGTGCAAATTTGCAAAATTCGGCACAAACTGTGTGCTCCAAATTGGATTGTTTAAACTGCTATGATATGGGTTATTTTTGCTAAATTCTAAAACTGAAAACCCGAGCAAAATGCGCCTTTTGAGCCGAGTATTTACTGTTTGCTCATTTGCAATGTGCCAGTATACGTTTTGAAAAAATATTCCAATTTATAACAGTTTCTGCATTATAGGCGACATAAAATCATATTTTTGGGGAAATTACGAAAAAAAGGTGCGTTCGATTACCAGGTAACGATTCTTTAGAAATAATATTGTCAAAAAGACAAAAAATATATACTCAAACATTAAAATCGTACCTGAATATACTAACTGAGATACGTTTCTTGGACAATCTCTTCGACCCCACCTAGTAAATATACTACCAGTTTCTTTAGAAGCCGAATCTATAAGATATAAGAATAATGTTATATAAGTCGGATATGTTCGTCGATATTATTACCCCGTAAAGACAAACTAGACTTTGATGTTCATTGTTTCTTGAACTTCTATGTTACTATGATATTGCAATCGTGAACTAATCACATCATTACATCATAGCAAAGCGCGACCGGAACAATCCTATCGGAATGTATGTGATCAGCCTCTGAAAGAAAATCAAAACGAGACACCAGAAATTTACAAATATTGAACAGACCGCCTACGAAAAAACAAACCGGTTCAGAGAAACTTCACGATCAGCTATAAACGGATTGCACACCAGTGGGAATGTGGCATTTGTCTTGAGTAAGACCTATCAACACCATTATTTTGGAAGAACGATTAGTATCGATCCGTCGCTTGTTAAACAAATATTCAAACTTACTAATTAAGGTCGGCGGTTGCTCTTCTCGGTCGTCGTCTACCTTTTCTAGATCAATTTTCATCTCCAAATCTTTAATTTTGGTATTCTGCTCTAGAATCTTGATGTCTTGATCGGCAAGTATGGTATTTTGATCTGAAATCTTGACATATTGAACTGCAAATTTGGTATTTTGTTGCGCGATTTTTGTATTTTGTTGAGCAATTCTTGTATTTTGCTCGGCAATCTGAACTCTTAAATCTGTAATTTCATCTATGGTAACTGCTCGTGAATTTTGTTGTAGTGACTGTTTATCCTGTACATTAGGAGTTGTTGAGAATTCCTGGCATGAAACATTGACAACAGAAAATAGTAGAATACTGTATAGTAGAAACATTGTGAACATTTAAAGTTGAGATCGTTGATATGTTTTCATATATACATTTAAGATAGCTTGCTAGACAAGGTAAAGTTGTCAACATTTAAACAACGAAATTCTGGTATCAAATATTAAATCATATCATCCATTATATTACATGTATTGCAGTCTATAATCTATAAATATTAGAAACATCTGCGTAAATTGATGATATCTGGTTGGATTGTTGGTTGTGGTTTGGATTGAATACCGACAAAAATCTGGAAATATCTTGGTAGGTGATATTACAAGATATTACAGATACATTAAATAATTCAGAAACAATGGAACAAATGGTATATATTTGATTATACAGAAGGCCTAGACTTAATTTCAATCATAACCGCTCGACAGAACTGAAACACGGTTGAACTGCCGCCTGGCGGTGATCTATCTCCAAATTTAGCCCGATAAGCTATCTGGATTATGCCGGACAATATGCTCTAATATGATTGTTTGAGGATACTTGCAAGGTTCACATGGAAAGTGAAAGTGGTGAAGACACTATGGGTTTTTCACTGCGACCACTGTATGCAATTAGCTCAAGGTCAGACCAACAAGAATGAATTCTTCCTCCTTGATGGCGGTTAGTATCTGTACCAAAGCCGTCGGTGTTCAGGCTACCTCCATATCTTTAGGTGGGCGTATAATAAGGGAATTTCCCTTAGTTTTCTCCTCAATCTAAGGTGTTGTAATGAATATGATGTAACTAATACCGCCGACTTTATAAATGAATAGGCCTAGGTCGACATTGACAATACTGAAATAATACTCTTGCTCCCATTTCGCGAAAAGTAAAATCTTACCATAAAAAAACTTTTTATATGAAGAAATACTACACTACACAAACAATGAAAGGCCCTTGAAATGCAAATCACATAAAAATATTTCATTGTCACGAAAACATTCATTAGATATAGTGAGAGATAAATCTTGTTTAATTTCAACCCAGTGACGGATTTTGGACATGTTGGGCCGTAGGCAAACGAACGGCAGAGGGCCTAATTTCTCATTTTAGGGAGGGGGCATGGTGTGATTACAAGTTTGCGATATCGGCATTCATCACCATTAGGCTCAAACAATTTAGTCGATTGTAACACATCACGCTCCTAGTAGGGCAATTTTCCATGGGCCTGTTGAAATTTATTAACTGTTTCATAATTTTTACTCTTACAAAATTTGTCATGGGTCGAAAGGCAGCTGCCTAGTTTGCCTATAGGTTAATCCGCCTCTGCTTCAGCCATTTTGATTATTATAATTCAAATCCATATACATGCAACGTGGTTTGCTGGAATAATGAGGAAAGATCGCGGTCACCAAACTTTCACACACCGCCACAACCGCAATTTAAGCGACAAGCACATGTCATTATGCTAGTTTTCAAGGTTCTAACCGACTTTGATACGGAACCCCTCAATAAATAGGTCATGATAATGAAGATATTCGATATTCTTCTCCGTGCGATACGCTTAGCCTCCGTTAAGATTTTGGATAGAAATAGGACCGTAGCTGTTTTGAGTGTGAATTGTTAGCTTAGTTTTTTTAATTATCTTTTCAACTTCCCTGTTGGCTATCACCTTACTTCACTCTAATAGTTTTTTATGTCTACTTTAGACTATTTTTAAATAATATTGATGTAAATTATCGAATAACATCATAAATTATACCTAAAAGAAATATTTTTAAAATTTATTTCTGACGCATGGGGCCTATATTTCAGTAATAGATCAATCATAAGAATCAAGTAATTTAAAAAATTAATCAATTAATTGAGATATCATCTTTTTAAAAAGATCTTACGCCAAAACATTAGCGAAAAGTATATATAGGAGGCATTTTTTTTCATCTCAGCATATTAATAAGGACCCGGTTCAAGAGCAATAACTTGAATAACTGAACTAGTTTTCATGATCGACAACTCTCAAAAAATTGTATCTAAAATTTGTACAACTTGTATTCAAATTGTAAAATTCATCCGCAAACAGCTAATCAGGTTACGTTAAAATCGAATCAAAATTAAATCAAAACTGTGAAAGTGCTGAAGAGATTTTTGTCGTATTATGAACAAGCTGGGGTCAATATTAAACTAGTTTTATACTGCATCCAATTCGGCATCTATCGTCTTTGTGTCATTATTCTACTGGCGGACATGGACAACAATAAACGTTATTGTGCTTATAATAATCTATTTCAAACAGACAACACATGTAAGAAGAGTGTTATCTTCATAAGGAGGACATGGTAGTGATCCACATTTTGCTCTCACTGGATACATCAATTTACCTTCATTATTAGTATTAATTCCGTTGATCTGTGGGTTATCATCTACACAAACATACTGAGATGCTGCTGGATGATTATAATATCCACTGACTAACTCCCCATGGTATGCTTTCTGCCAGCCTTGATAACATTCTGTTCTAGCTGGTATCATTAATACTGTAGAAAACTGGCTAGTTCGACATACAGCACAAGGTGGTTTATAATTCCCAATTGCCTTTGGAATGTTCTCATATTCTGAACCATACATATATCCCCAATACTGACCATTAAAATGTTTATTAACATTCCATGTTGGATCTGGTGGTAGACAAACATATTCTGCTGCTCCTCCAGTGTGTGTTATATAAGATCCTCCAGTTATACCTGGATATAAGGCGATGAAATGAATTATACACAGAGAGACACCTACGATATTTTATAGAGTTGCAATAGGATAAATTAAAACAATCTGCTATTATTTTCATGCGAATTATTTACATATTCTTAAAATAAACAATACTGCTTATTTATCATATAAATATTAAAACGTACCTGAATAAACTAACTGAGATACATTTCGTGGACAATCTCTACGACCCCATCTTGTAAATACACTACCACTTCCTTTAGAAGCCGAATCTAAAAAGTATGAGTTTAGGTATATTTTGTTGGTTGTGTTCATAAATAATGTTAATTAATGTCCCCATCTTGTAAATATACTACCAGTTCCTTTGCAAATTGAATCTATAAAAAATATACCATTATACTAAGATTACATAGCGTACAGTGTTCAATGTGTAATACTTTAATTATAACTAGATAACTTACTGTTTGATGGTGGTTGAAGAGTTTGGTTGCCCTTCTTTTCCAATTCCTTTATTTTTAGCCCCAAATCTTTAATTTTGGTATTCTGTTCTAATATCTTGATGTCTTGTTCGGCAAGTTTAATATTTTGATCTGAAATTTTGGCATTTTGAACTGCAAATCTTGTAAGTTCCTGAGCTAATGTGGTATATTGTTGAGCAAGTCTAACATTTTGGTTCTCGATTAGTGTATTTTGCTGGTTAATTTTATCTCTTAAATCTGTTATATCATCTATAGTAACTGCCCATGAACTTTGTTGTAGTAACTGTTCATCCCCTACTTTAGGAGTTGTTGATAATTCCTGGCATGAAACATTGATAACAGAAACTAGTAGAATACTGTATAGTAAAATCATTTCGGCCTTTTCAAGTCGAATGGTGGTTTTCGGCATTCTCACTTCACTGCGACGTTTCCATTTTTATAATAAATGCTTATCACGAGGTAAATGATTTATTAACAGAAATAAGCCCACTAATTGAAACCACAAATTCTACTTTAAAGAAAAAGGTCTTTTATCTGACTTTTATTAGCTCTTTTTTCAAACAAATATGTTTGCTAAAGTTTAAAAAATCAAATGATATGCATGTTGTTAAGAAATTTATATTTTATGCTTTCATATTTTATAGCATATATCATTAGACATTGATATTTGAAAAAAATGAATGATTTATACACATTCACTAATCGAAATCCTTCTAGAATTAGCCCGACAAATAACTGAACATCATTATGTCACGTCCGACAAACTCATTTCAGAGTACCCGGTCAATAGCTAAGGCAGTAGAAGAACTTCAGTAACTGACAGCCTGAAGACTGTGTGAGATTTTTAAGTAACCTGTGTAAGATTAAGTCGACTAAACTTTCCTATCTGGAGGGTTATTGGGTTCTCTCTGTTTATAGTTGAAAGAGTTGGTTCTTTACATGATGTCGTTTGCTTGGTTACATCGAACAAATGGTGGTCGTGGGTTCTAATCGTTCTATCCAGTGATTAACCATGGATAAATATAAGATAGCTTGCCAGACAAGGTAACATACGCCCACTAACAGCTGTCAGAAATGATAACAAAGTCTGATGTGGTTTAATATGTGAAACTAATCATCCTATCATCCTCATACCAACTTCATCAAAAAACGAATAAAAAATGTAGTCTCTATCAGGCCTACAAGCCAAATTAAACGCATTGAACTTATTCAAGGGTAATAACTCTAAAACAGTTCATCCGATGTTACCAATTTAGAACTTGACTGAGATCTCATCAATATATACATGCATACAAAGTTTCATCTTGATCAGATAAATCATGTAGTCTCTATTGGGCCTACAAGACAAATAAGACGCATTGATTTAATTCAAGGGCAATAACTCCAAAATCATTCCTCCAATTATTACCATTTTGAACTTGAGATCTCATCAATATATACATTGATTTTAATCAAAGATATGTTTTTTTAAAAAAACATTGAATTATAAATCTAAAAAATAAAAACACATATTATACAAACTAAATAAAATCATTGACTGTATAATGAAGAGAAAGTTTATATAAGATATTGAGACTTATATATACACTAAATTATCATTGAATAGTTAAATGTATAGATTCCTAGAAATTTCAGGATAGATTTTAAAATATCATTCATTTAAATCAAGTCATTCTTAAAAGGATAAAAAAAATTATTGACAGTAACAAATATAACAAAATATAATACGACACTAATACCATCAATATTTCATTATTGATAACATGTTATTCATATGAAAAGATGAGGACAGGTTTTAAGAACATTGATTTAAATTAATTAATAGCTTTCCTGGATTGACTGTTTATAACACTTGTATTTATGTACACCAGAGTCAAACTATGTCATGTTATTTTGTTACCAATTCCGCCACATATAGTATAACAGTTTAATACTATTGAACAAGCTAATTTAGATTACAATGCCAGACAGAAAGCAAGATCCAGTTTGGGACTTTTTTTTTAGAAGAATAGCAACTAAGAGCGGGAAATGCTCTGGAGCTTAGAAGTGTGATGGAACCAATAGAGCACAACCACAGTCAGAAACTGATGATAATGGTAACATTGTTCATGTAGAAGAATACGGCCCTATCGCCCATCTACCAGTGATGACCCAATACTTTTTGAGGGGCATTTAATTTAAAATTGAACATATATAACAGTTTATAGACACTAGTTTGCATCTTTGCCATAACTTTATAATGCGGAGGAGCTAATTGACACATTTTGGTTTAACAAAAACCAATTTAAGACAGTTCCACAGTATAAAAAAAACAAAAATCTGATTTAAAAGTATAATATAGAATAATATAAGAATACAAAATGGCGACATAGTAATTCTTAAACTATATATAGCGTATCTTTAGAATATGAAATATTGTACAAATTATATATTTATTTCAAACAGACAACACATGTAAGAAGAGTGTGATCTTCATAAGGAGGACATGGTAGTGATCCACATTGTGCTCTGACTGAGTACATTAATTTACCATCATTATTAGTATTAGTTCCGTTGGTCTGTGGGTTATCATCAAGACAAACATACTGAGATGCAGCAGGATGACTATAATATCCACTAACTAACTCCCCATGGTATGCTTTCTGCCATCCTTGATAACATTCTATTCTAGCTGGTATCATTAATACTGTAGAAAACTGGCTAGTTCGACATACAGCGCATGGTACTTTATAATTCAGTAGTGGCTTTGGAACCTCTTCATATTCTGAACCATACATATATCCAAAATGCGGACTATTAAAATGTTTATTAACATTCCATGTTGGATCTGGTGGTAGACAAACATATTCTGCTGCTCCTCCAGGATGTGTATAGTGTGATCCGCCAGTTATGCCTGGATATGATATAAATTGCTGAAATAGACAGTGGCGAGCAAAGGGGGGGGGGGGGGGGGGGGGGGGTCTCATTGACAAGGAATGAATCAAAATGTTTTGCGTGTTTTGTTAACGATTCCACAGAAATCCATATATTGCATATTGCACGACTGACATCAAAACTACCGTATAAAACATTAAAAACCTACCTGAATATACTAACTGAGATACATTTCTAGGGCAATCTTTACGTCCCCATCTTGTAAATATACTACCACCTCCTTTAGTGGAATCTAACAAAAATAGTATAGGTTTGTTCAAAAATTATATTTATATCAATATTGTTCATTAATAACAACTTCGTTTTCCGAAAGAAACCCGTAGTTATTTCAAGACATGGCTTTGTCCGGAAAACTGTTAATCATCATCGCCATCTTAGATTTTTGCAGCCATCTTGGATTGGGTTTATTTTTGATAGGGTTCATCCTTGGGTGATAAAAATTAATTTCACGAAGTTTCGTCTAAACCCGTTGAGAATTGTGCCTTCTAGAATGTTCACCAGCTAAAAATTTAATGCGTCTTCAAGAAAAGGCAATAACTCATTTTCGACTTTCAATAGGGTCCATCTTTGTGTGATTACAAACACTCACACATAAAGTTTCATCAAAATCTGTCTAGAATTGTACCATATAGAGTTTTACGTGCAATTGAACGACAGCCCTCTTGAACGTTCGTCAATTTAACGTTTTGAACGAACTCGAACGTCAAGTTAGGTCGTTTTTTATCTTGTAAATCTACTGAAGTGGCTACATTTATACATGAAAAATACGAGCTTATAACAGCTAATAAAAAAAGGAACGAAAGTTTAGTCTGAGTTTGGTCTATGTTTAGATGGATAAGATAATTCTGGACACACATGGCAAAAACGTATAAAAATCAGAATTTTAGATTTATTAAAATTAAAGTGGTGGTACATTTGGGGACGCTAACCACTTTTCTAGGAGGCAACCAGTGAGCTAGATTTTCCATTTGTGGGACGTGTTAAGTTAACTTTAGTCTCTCTCTGATACTCTGTACTAAAAGTCGAAGAAATTACGTCAAGTGTAGTTCATTTCGATTAGCTCCCGCCATTTAAATAATGAAATGACTTGCAAGGAATTACCACCGGCATTCAAGGTTATGTATCTATCCTTAAAACAATTTCTATGTATTGTTTTTCATTTTTGGTTGACCAATAAAATTTATAAATATTGACTTACCATTCATTGATGGTGGTTGATTTTCTCTATCGTCTTCCTTTTGTAGTTCTTTAATTTTCATCTCCAAATCTTTAATTCTGTTATACTGTTCTAGTATCTGAATGTCTTGTTCGGACAGTTTAGTATTTTGATCTGAAATCTTGACATTTTGAACTGCAAATTTTGTATTTTGTTGTGCGATTCTTGTATTTTGCTCGGCAATCTGAACTCTTAAATCTGTAATTTCATCTATGGTAACTGCTCGTGAATTTTGTTGTAGTGACTGTTTAGGATTTGTTGATAATTCCTGGCATGAAACATTGATAACAGAAACTAGTAGAATACTGTATAGTAGAATCATTGTGAACATTTAAAGTTGAGATCGTTTGTGTGTTATCTTAAATATATTCAAGATAGACTTCCAGGCAAGGTAAAATCAACAACTTTTAAAGGTATAGTATTCCAGATTTTCGTTACTTAAAACTGTTCATGTACTAGAAATGTACGAAAATTGCATAATTCCTTCAAAAATATCTCAAACTAGGAATTTCTTTTCCTATTTCCATAGGTGTCATTTCTATATATGGCAGTGTCTCATAAAAAGACGATTCGTCTTTTTAACTTTCGAACAGATAATTCTGGACACTTATAACAATGATACAGTCAGTGTCCCCGATGTAAAATTTTTTAAATCAAATAGTTTCTCGCGGTCAATCAAATTGATTTAAATGCATTAAACTTGGTCATTATAGGAGCAGTATGCAATAGTGTTGTTATAAAAAAACATTGTCAATTATACGTGATAAGATTCATACAATATCCTATTAACTTCTGTTTACACTTTATCAACCTGAAATTGCTTTAAAGGGGTGATTAAAAATGGAGCGTATTGCTGATTAAGTAGTTTGATCTTGTTTTGGTGATTGGCCTTATCACGGCTACATATTCGGCAGAATTCCCCTTTAATTCCACTATAACATATAAAGAAATGATTTTCAATATAAGCTTGGTTGTTTGTTGGTAGATATGAAATCGCAATTACGTGCAGTGTGATAGATTTTATATACAGATATCATTCATTATTGTCGCTTTTTATAAACTTTCATGGCGATTTACATAACAGTTCATTGTTAGAATTTTAATACTTAAATTGGACGATTATCACTGGTAAAGATCTTGTCTGACGTAAGAAGGGTATTTCCCTGTTGAAATTATAATGTGGTATATGTAAAATACCATGAAATGATACCGAAAGGTTGTAATTGACTATTTTATGGGCTCACTTGTGATAGAAATTCTTGCAAATATAACCATGGAATAAATCAGAAAGCAGAACACTTTTTATCTGGTGAGCATGTATTCTCAAAGCAGCGGTTCTCACTTGGTAAATGGGACGGCGAGGGACCCCTACCAAAATTACATTTAAAAAAAAATTCTAACCTGTGTAACCTGTAGTATATATTCCTCCATCTTACTCAATATTGAATAGTTTAGGTTAGTTATGTTTACCTGGTTTAATTTGACTCATAAATAATTATTTTCAAATTAATCCTAGCGTAATAAGTAAATGATCTCCACGGTCTTTTAGTTTTAGCGGGCAATTCTACGCCTTGCGTGACTACCTTGTTTAAACCATTATCTTACATGGAACTAATGACTCTGACACTAGCTTTATAGAACAGAATTTTATTCTCTTACATAAAAAGACATATAATGTATAATGTAGAATGTATAAGACACATTGTGTTTGACACAGATCTGTCAGCTTCCGAGCGATTTACGTGCAAAACTGCATACTGTTAATAATTATCTTTGGAAATGTTTTCGGGTGTAGAACAATCTTTGCTGAAGATTTTATTTTACATTATCATTAGAACCATCACACTATTCAAACACTGAGTTCTATAGTTCAATAACCACGCCTACAAGCCAAAATGTTCTAGTACAGCTTTTAATACCAACTTTTGATTGGTAAACTTAAATTAGCATGTCAAAATGTGCCCGAGTTTTATATTAATCATAAATGAGCAAATATTTCTTTATTAGTATCAAGTATCTAGAAGAGTAAGCATACCCGTCATTGCTGCTTAATAATATACACAACAAACACGAACGTATAAACAAAAAAAAATGACTTGAAATGTTGGTCTAGATTTGGAATTTGATTTCTGAAATTGCATTTTCTTTCAGACTTTGTGAGATGATGAGAGATTTTCATGCCGAAGGATAATTCTAGTTCAAGATTTTCATAATCATGATATATAGAATTTTTGTTCAGAAAATAAGCATTGGCCAGGCTTTCATGTGACATATTGGAAAGTTTTAAACGAGATTTCTGGAAAAAGTTATAGAAGGTTTAATTTCGGGATTTCACATGGAAACAGATGATAAATGAACTGCCGGAGTGGGTCCATATTATGATATATCCTGATATTTCAAATATATGTTTAGAAGTTATATTTATTAGTGTGTTCGAGTTTAATTTAATGAGGCCCTGATATTCTGCTGTTAAAAAAATTTATATGCTAGTTAACCCAGGTTAATAAAGATGCCTGATATAATAGTTTCTCCACCGCCCGTCATATGTATAAATTCCACACTACATTACAATGCTCAATGTGGTCATTTTCACAAAACCCTGGACATAATTTCTAACATTTGAAATTTGGAGTATATGTTTTTATGTATTGTTTTATTATTCGCTTAAATGTCGGTTTATATTATTGAAACCACCTTGATATAATTAGAGCAACAATAAAGAAGTTCCCGATAGATTTTGCATCTTTACTAGTTTCTTTGTGAAGTTGAAGCTGTTTTACTGTCGCATCGTCTGATACAGACAATTTATAACATTTACTCCCAATCCGTTTTTATTTATTCGAGCTTGATGAAAAGGTTATTCAGTGAGAATGTGAAATGTGCCCCATAACTTATCAGAAAATTTTAACCTTTTCACTTTTTAACATCAAAACTATTTAAAACGTTTACGTGAACTTTAGCTCGTTATGCTTTTTGGTAAGTGTTAGAGAACCACTGTACGGATTTAATAAAAATAAACTCTTTAATTGTAGAGAACTACTTACTTACTTCCTGCTGCTAAACTTCAACCAGACACCCAAAAAGGGTTTAAAAACTGAATCATATGAAACAAAATGTATTATTTTCTATACTTACCTACTGCCCCAAGCTCAATCCTTTTTCACTGGCATTATACATAATACGCATGTACATGTAGGCCTACATCTTAGTCCTTACTTAGCTTCAGAATCTTCAAATGTATTTTGAGGCTATGTTACTTGGACGAGGATTAAAGTGTGAGAGAATTTGTATAATTTGTTTAATTTCTAATAACCATTTTCACCATATTGCAAGCATGGAAAATTTGAAATTCAAAGTCAGAAGAAGTAAGTGATTCAAATATTATAATTTAATACATCAATAACAAACAAATCCATTGTTAAATTATGGTAAATAAATAAATATTCAACACCGCTAACCGTTTGATCTAGGCGTGTTGTTATCTAGTTTAGCCCACCTTTCAGACTGTAATAGATCAATATGAAAGGTCACTGTGAACAATACTTACTGACATCTTGATTCAAGTCAAGTAGCTGAATTGACCTTTATTATGTAATTACTTAGTGTTAATTAATTATTTACAGTATGTAAGATGATATCTTCTTTAATACATAGAGGAAGTGCTAGAAATTGCATTAAAGGGATGTTTGCCTGAAGTTAATTTTTGAAATAAAATTTCTACAAAAAAACATAAATCTACTGCAGCTGTAAGATTTGTTATAGAACAATTATTGGTTCATAATCTGTTAACATGGAGATGTATATCTGCAAAACATGGGATAACCACTTATTTGTCCTATTCTAACTGGGACTCAAATCTAAATTATATTACAATTTCTTCCCTTTTTTGTTTTAGTCTACATTGTATTCTAAATATGTTTTTTTTACCAAAGACCCACCCAAAGATGTTATTTTTAACCAATCAAAGCGTGTCAAGAAAACCGTTTGTTGATTACATAAGGGATTGTGGGATAGCTAAACCAAAAGAGGCTGTCAAATTGCTTTACGTTTCGATATCCCAAAATTCCTCATTCGATTAGTTTTAGATATGACCTATGAGACGGATCTTTGGTCTTGTTGGATTACCGTAGAGAATGAAAATATCAGATAACGAAAAAGATGAAATGAAATGTAATCTAGTTACATGAGATGCTCTGAAACTGTAACATATCAATATTTAAAATGCAACCGAAAAATCTAAATTCACACGACAATGGCACCAGTAGAAATCAAAATTTGTTTTTAACATCTACAAATAATATTAGACGATTCAATACCTTCAACTTTATTGTATATTAGAATTCATTATAATTGTCTTCTAAATTAACAGGCTTAGTAAAGTTAATAAACGATTTTAAAATGCTTCGTATACCTTACTGGATTATTTATTGTGTGTGGTTTAGTGGTTGTCCAATAAGGAGGATTGTTGGCGATGGATATTATGGTATGGGAAGTAATTCAATAGAACAAATCAAGGAATTAGATGACAAAGTCTGTGAACTGGATAAAAAAATTGCACAACAGGATGCAAAATTTGCCGACATGAAAGGAAAGATTTCCGATCAAAATACTGACATTGCGCATCAGGATACACGATTTGCTGAGATGAATACACTCATTGCTAACCAAAATACAAAGATCGCTGAAATGAAATTATTGATCAATTGGTGGAGGACTAACAAACAACAAATTGCTGGTAGACAACAAATAAGTAATGGTTATCAACAAAGTGGTACTGGTAATCTAGGTTCTGGTTATCAACAAAGTGGTACTGATAATCGAGGTTCTGGTTATCAACAAAGCAGTACTGGTAATCAACAAAGTTATAGTGGAAATCGAGGGACTGGTTATCAAATTGTAACTGGTGGAACTGCTCAAGAGAGAGCCGATACTGGTGGTACAACTCAAAAACAAATCGGCGCCGGTGATCAGCCAATTGGTAATGGTAATACTGTATCAAAGCAACATGGAACTGGTGGTACTGGAAATAAAACAATTGGTAATGGTATTCAACAAGCCGGTGATACTAATCAACAGATTGATACAACAGATCCACCAAGTGGTGAAGATTATCCACAAGACAGAATTGGTGGTATTGGTAATCAACAACGTGGTAAAAGTAATCAGGATATACCCACAGGTGGTACTGGTGGAAATGGTAAGTTGAGAGTGTGGTAATTTTAAATTATACCTTTTCTTGTCTTTGCTGTTATAAATTAGTAGGCGAATCGAGCTTTGCTTTGCTCGACACAAGTCTTTGAGGTTTTTATATGATTGTTGCGACCAGACACTATAAATCTATCAACTAATACAATGAAAAATAAAAAAAAGTTGGCCAGTGGGAAAGTTAAATGAAATTGTTGATACCAAAGGGAGCCATGGTTTTGAGCTCGCGGATCCAATGTGCCGTTCCCTCTAGATGGTAGCAGGGAATCGGGCAGCTCTGGCTTTTTGAAGGTGGTTGGATGTGTCATGGAAACCCTGGTCTACTCACCAGTAGTCTTCTGTTAGGGTTTTCGACAGCGTGGACCTCAACAACGGTTATCTTGGACGATGTGTCCGCAGATATATCGCTCATGGTAGGTATTACATCCGACGTCATATTTTCCCGGAAGCAATGACGGCGTAAAGAATAACTTCCTCGAAAATACCCTTTCTTGGGTAAGGTACAGCCCGACTGGTTTGTTGTGGATTGAACTCTTCAGGGACAACTACGCACATTTGAAAGCTTCTCCTCTATTTATGCTAAAAGTAAAGCGGAGGCACATTGCGGAGCCGAATTTGGCCTGATGTGCAGGCGTTTCTGGTGAAATGCGTAGGTCAGTTGCAGAGGCGATCTGCCAATGCGTAAGCAATTTCACTCGAGACGCCTCCGCATCAGATCAATTTCGCCTCCGCAATGCACCTCCGCATTTTTTAGCATAAATAGAAGTGAAGCTTTCTCTTGTGTGCAGGGTATTTTCGAAGAAGTCATCCCTTCCCTCTAAAGTCAATTAATACAATGATTTTCAATTATAGTAGCACATTCAGCAATAGGCAGTATATTTATAAGATGGGGTCGTAGAGAATGTCCTGTTCTTATATCCGAACTAGTCTATGCAGGTAACTATGGTAGTTATTCAGATAACTTGAAACAATGACATTTAAGATGTTAAGAATATAAAGACTTTTGGTACAAATAAAAAAGCAGTAAAAAAGTTATGTGTGAAAGATTGTCGATACATTGGCAACCGTATCTTTACCGACCTGAAATTGTTTTTAATGTTTAGTGGTAAAGTGTTTTACTACCTCTGACGACTTTATCCACAGGGTATACTGGTGGATCACATCACTCACATTCTGGAGGAGCAGCAGAATATGTTTGTCTACCACCAGATCCAACATGGAACATTAATAAACATTTTAAAAGCCCACATTGGGGATATATGTATGGTACAGAATATGACTCCGTTCCGCAGCCAATAAAGGATTACAAAGTACCATGTGCTGTATGTCGAACTAGTCAGTTTTCTACAGTATTAATGATACCAGCTAGAACAGAATGTTATCAAGGCTGGCAGAAAGCATACCATGGGGAGTTAGTCAGTGGATATTATAAGCATAAAGCATCTTCACAATATGTCTGTCTAGATGAGAAACCACATACGAATAGTTCTGTAACTGACTATGATGGTAAATTAATGTACTCGGTGCAAGCAAAATGTGGAGCACTACCATGTCCTCCTTATGAGGAAAACGCTCTTTTAACGTGTGTTGTCTGTTTGAAGTAGTTTCGATGCTTATCTTCGACGGTGTTTGTTTATAGCAGTCTAATTAAGTTTAGACCAGTCTTTAGTTTTCTTATTTTTAGATAGCCACTTCAGTTAAGGTCTAAAGAAGGGCCTATTCATCCGTTTAATGACACCACAAGAAAATCAAATGTCTTCCCTCTCCAACGATTTTGTGACGCAAAGAAAAGGTACATTCAGTCTAAGCTTCTCGGAATATACCTACTGTTAGATATTATGATACTTTTAAGGACAACTGGACATATTTTTAAACTTTTATAGTTTTTGTACAGGAGATGAACGGAGTCCACGTAGATATTTGAGATTGGATATTTTATGTGTATTGTCAATCTCATTAATATACAGGCTTGATTGAAAATCGGGAATTATTTAGTCAACAGGAAAATCTGATTTAAATGCAGAATTGAAGTTTCGTTTCGTGTTTTCTGCACGTCAAATTGCCACATTCTACATTCTACACCGCATGGCGTTGCCCGTCTACATTAGCCCATCTGGTGAAAAAAGCTATGACGTTAAACTCTTAAAGCAGTAATACGGTATAGTTATTTAAGGTTTTATTTGAAATATCTCAGCTACTTTGCTGACCATTATTATTTCTCCTAATTCATTTTATTATAGGAGCTGTAATGACATTATATCGTCCATGATTTTAAGATTATTAAATGCAATTTTGATCCTGGCAGGTCGGCTTTACAATTTGTTTGCATCACTGGCCATAAACCACGGCATATCGTTGCAGTATGTGAAGCACATACCCGCATATTACATTTTACGTTTCCTTAGTGTAGTTATCCAATCTAACTGAGATAGAATTAAGATGGTTCGAGACTAGATAGTAATGTCACCATACATATTCCACTTGATAAAACTACTGCTGACCTGAAATAATTACAAATTAATTTCATTACAATGGATGAGTGAGCTGACTCTATGACTATATCAAGGAAATATTTCAAGTTGCGGTGTCAGCCTTCCAATCAGCGGTAAAACTGGTAAAAATTGTCGAACACTCTTTTTATTTCCACTTATAAGCATTTCCAAAAGCACAAATTATGTATCCATATGCCAGTCATGTAAAAAATATATCATCTAAAATAGCAAAATTATTCGTGCGCCTCGAGACAAATACGCCTCTTGTTAGATCTATTTGTTTATGTCGTATTTTTATTCAATCATATCACAAATACTTTCTACACAGTAGTCACAAAAGAGGAAATGTAACTTACCATAAGACAGCTCTAACTAGGCGGGAATGTTTCCATACATTATATTTACTGACAACGATTCTATCATGTCCTTTAAAGCATCGTAATATTTGTCGCGCACTGAAACATAATAAGTGTAAGTCTATAAATAAACCACATACCAACGATCCCAACCGCAAAACGAAAACCAATATAATATATTGGCGAAACATTGGTAGCAAATAATGAACCAATCATACAGAGTAAGTATTTCATGATGAAAAGTGGTATTCATGTGTCAAGAAGAGTAAGCATACCATGCCTAGTCTCTGACGCCCAATTATACCTGCTAGAATATAGTCTGGGAGTGTTAGTTGAAATTTCTGTCACGACGCTTTCAAATTCCATCAAGGGAGATTAAGCATATTTGATCATCCAGGTTTCAAACGACTTGTTTACAACCGAAACAAATTAGCAGTTTTGTCAGTTTATATTTGATAATTTAATCCGCGAATTGTTATATTTATCGATTTTTCGAGCAAAGAATTAAGATATTAAGCAACCTGTCCAGGCCCTCTATACAGAGAGGGGGAGGGACTGGGTGATAAAGGCTTGACGTTGCCCGACTTATTTTTATTGATTGGGAATGACTCACATAGCCTCTGCCAGGAAATCGCCTACTCCGGATAATTAAAATGTAACTATTCAATAGTCTCCTTGTTTCATGAAAGAAGATGAAACTATATATGATATCGCGCTAAGAAACAATGTTGACGGGTGGATAGAGGTTACGGACTAGGCTAGGCCTATATGTTATCATATCGTGTTTGTGTAGGCTACTTTTCCGTGCAAAAAATCATTATGTTATCACTATTATATACAACCATACCAAATTTCGTTGCAATCCGACCATCTGGCTCTATCGTTCAAGACAATGTGCTCTGCCACTGACGTCCGTTCAGCCGTACCGGATGTTCGAAGTCTATCAAACAAGACAATAAGGAAATGACCGTAAAAATCACTTTTACTTACCAACCAAAATTTCCAGTTGCAACCAAAGCTGTATTGTTGCTTTGTAACTTAACATCCACTGTACCATATGATGAAAACCATTGAGCCAACTAGATCAAGGGGAGATAATCTAAAATTACTTGGTTTTGAAACTAAGCATTTTAATCCCAATTCCGTGCCTTATTTTTATATAAAAAAAATTCATAATAATTATTATATTTCATTTAACATTTAAACCCAAAACATTAAAGTAAATAAGAATACTTCGATTTATTTAATCGAAATTGAGGAGAATTACCACCATTTACAATATGTCTCAATATTAAATATATACAAAAGTTCTCCAACAGTCAGTGGTAATGACCTTCTAGGTCATATGGGATATGATGAACCGGTTAATCTCAGGCATTGTGGAGATATGTGTCAGCCAACCTTGTTACGCTCTGACACAGAGAACCATCTGATCCCTACCCAGTCCACCTAAATAGTAGCAGTTTAAGATAACCTCAATTCCTGCTGATGAGTTAACACCGTGATTCCAAAAATATAAAGTAAACCTACACTTGATTTATAATTGAGTTAATCGAACCAACATCCCCCAGAGAGACCCTATATCCAAATATTCTTGAATATCAAATCATAATTAATCACCTGATTAGATTTCAGCCTAAAACCATTTTTCCTAACACGTACAAATAGTATCTGTGGTCTTTGAGATATTGGATCATTCCCATCCAGTGTCTGTAAAAAATAGATTGTAGATCATAAGTCAGTTAGATACAAATTATATAAAGATGACAAATTTTTCCCATCTTAGCCAAGAAATCTATTGAACAATCTTAATCTTTAGATTACTGCCTTCAACGAGTGTCAAAGACTGGCTGCATCTTCGAAAATCTGATTAAGAAAAAATCTGTAGAATAAGAAAATAAATTGGTCTGGCCTAAATATGGCTTGACTCTTACCACATGATTAATTGTAGCTCTGATAATATTTATCTTATTAAGAAATCGCTTCAGATGAGGTACATAATCAGTAAATGAACAGGCTTGAATCTCTGTAGATCTTAAATTATATAAAATATATTAGATTCATTTAGATATTTCTTTTACATAAAGACAGTTATTCCACTCATTTATGTATCTGTGAGATGAACAAACGATTGTTGATAAATATTACACAGTACTTAAAATTTAAAAAACAGGTTTCCATGTCAACTTGTTTACCTCTACAACTTTCTTTTGTGCTCATTTACCAAATTTCATAGCTCTAGCTTAATATATGATCTTATAACAAACCGCCTTTGACCAAATTATTGAAATAACGTGTTAATCATACTCATATATTGTATTTATTTTATATTATAAAAATTATTATGGTGGACAAAAATTGCAATTTCTTTAAAATATTACCTGATTGTTCTACAGCTAAGAATATGTGCTATATAGAGAAAGACTGAGCCACACATAAATGCATCAAAACCTGCTTCATGTGGTACATCATTTTTTACTGAAAGAAAAAGAATTATAAACTTGGTATATATTAAATTTAACTGATACTGAGAGCATTGTTTCTTTTCAAAACAACTTAAACTGATTGAGTGATTCAAGTCATTGAAAAATAGAACCAGAGACATTTTGTGAATATGGAATAAATTTAGCACACAAGCCTGGCCATGTCACAGGATAACTTTTTATTAAAGCAGATCCAGCCAGCTTCCTTGAATGTTTCTTCACCACAGATTAGTGATGGATCCACCACTTAAAGCCAGAAACCAAACGGCCGTCGATGCAATGGAAAGAAGGCAAAGGTGGTCACCCTGGATCTACTTTTCAAAGACTTACTCAATCAGTGTCAGTTGATCTGAATTTAATATATACCATACATATATACATGTATATACCATATATTTGATTTTTTTTTAGCTTTTTAACCCCCCTCCCCTCCTCTGTGATTAGAGTTTGCTAGAGCTGAAGGTAGTTAAAACCTATGGTTAGTTAATACCACAAGTGAAATATAGGTTGTAAAATTTAGTTGACTTACTGTATCTCTCACAACCAGCTGCATGGTGAATCTCAGGTGAAAATAACACCACTTGTAAACCTACGTCACTAAAACATAAGACAGGAAGAAATTGAAAATTGTTTGATGTATTCTACTGAATTCCAGTCGTTTTGACATCTGGTTATTCTGGCATCTGAACAAGAGGTCGTTTCAGTCTCAAATTTCTTGATGTCCGAGTTGACTTGTTATTGTTAAGATTAGCAACTTAGCCACAGAACTTAAGCACTGATCTTGATCTTTACTCTCTTTTAGGCATTTTTATTCAACATGTTAGTTGTATTGGTGGGGCAATTTACCTTGAAAAGGCTTGGTATAATTTCTGTAATGAGGTGTATTCTAATAAGCCAGTTTCTTCTAGTTCCTGTAATACATGAGGAACTGATAGTCTGCTAACATTTTTGTTGAGAGAAAAGACATAAGAAAGAAACTTTCTTTAAAGATAATAAAATTTAGTTCAATATACCAGCTTGTCTTGGCATTGACCTTTACCAGGTTATCAGTACCCATATACAG